TATATTTAAAGAACAAAGTGCATTCCAGTTGGTTGTAAAAATTTGGACTTGTACCATTTTATTGTTGTTTTTTTCCGAGATTGAATTAATTACACATCTGCACTTTAATAAATGACAAAAGTGCACCGAAACAATAACATAAATACATATCAAAGTAAATTCATAAGTTGATCATATTTTCACAGTAAAATCCGAAATGAAGTTAATATTTGAGAACTCATTAACTGGTAGTACTACATCTCATTGCTGACGTTCACGTTCACATCAAACACTAGAAAGTTATTTTTAAAAGATGTTGCACCCAGTATGCTCCTAAAAACTTTCAAATTTAGAATGTTCGAAAATTTTAAGGCATCTTTTCAAGGACCTTATATGTTAGTAGAAGGTGATTAACGAAAAATTGAGTATCAACAAGGATAAAATATTGACTCATACAATGTACTATAAATACCATACTCTTCAAATAGTTTAGTAATTTAGTAGCTCAGTAAGCAGATAACGCCTTGGTGTTTTTAGTGTGAGCATCGAGTCTAGGTGAACATCAACACGAATGCAATCAAACCCAGTCAATCAGACAGAAATAAGATGAACAACTCATACTGGATGTCACAATTTATCACAAGATTACCTAAAATGTACCAAGTTAATGAATAACAAAAGTATTCGTAGCTTAAGAGAGAATGAAATATATTAAGTATTTTGTGTAAAACGATAATGAAATGTAATTCGTGTTTTTCTGTGTACTCAGATTTTTTTCTGATTAATCATTTCATGATGCTTGCATGTCTTAAAATAAATCTTTTGCCCTTAGTCTATTCCTTAAGTTTCAAGGATAACTTACAATTATCTATATTTTCTGAAGAACTGAAAAGTAACTAGTATAGATTCTCGCTGAAAACAATCAAATATTTCAACACTGAAGTCTTAATATGTGGTGTGAGCTACTTCTAATGACGTAAGTAGTATATAACGTGCGTTAAAGGAACGTAATTTCTAGCAGCAAAAATGACGAAGACCAAGAAAGATGGAGGGAGAACATAATGGAATTTGTAAGAAAACCAATGTTCAATGGAATGGGAGACAATGGATTGGTGTTGGCAACACAAACAATCCAGTTTGATTTGATGCATGAATATTTTGCAAATTGACGATTGACTATATGGTATTCAGATTTTGTTGAGATAGACTGTAATTGTCGTGAAAAGTACATCCGTTTGTCCCCACCCGTGTTCTTGTTCACTACAAATATACTTACTTAAACTACTTTATTTGCTTTATTGCATAAATGTTTTGATATTGCTTTCTGGAATGTCGAAGTAGTCTATTGAAAGAAACCCTGGATTGTATTTCGCCTAGTATATATATATATATATATATATATATATATATATATATATATATATATATATATATATATATATATATATATATATATATATATATATATATCAGTTATACAATACCTAGTGAGTGAAGTTCCGTTGTAACCTGATTGGCAGCCGAGATAAATAAAAGAATAAGTTGATCTATTCATTTATTCAATTACACTACTCGTTATATTTTATTATATGCTACCATCAACACTATTTGTTTGCACATGCAAATTACTTAGTTTATCTATATTACCATAGTGATGTTACATGTTGTATAAATAATGCTTTGTTTAAATGCAAAATAGACAGACAGATAAGATGCTTATCTAAAGTTTGATATTAAGAACATTTCTCTGGTTCTCATTGTTAATGTAAAAATGGGCTATTGATAATAACGGATGAGACATTCAGTTATTGGTATGAGACTACGTACTATCATCATCTAGGCTACCCATTTAATAAAATATCAGCTAATGAGTGTAAAGTAAACAGTCTATAAAAGCCCAGAATATTCTGGTTTAATTTTATGGATGTTGATTACAAAATACTGTCTCAGCAAAGATTAAATATAGTCATCACTTTATAGATTTGATTAACTTAATTAAAGAAGATAGATTGATAGACATTGTACCGACGAACTAATTAACATCGTGAGTTTAAAATTCTCAAAGCATATAGTCTACTGTATCTTTGTATTGTCCAAACAGTTATTCTCTGTTTAGTATTTGACAAAGCTTATATGAATGTATTTTTATGAATGAAGCCTCGACTTATTTCTTATTTTAATCAGATAATATACTACTTACTTACACCTGTCAATCTTCGTGAAGCATAACCCTCAGTTTATACACAGACAACAAATGTAGGTGCCTAAAACTGAAAATATTGTCCTTCTCACTGTTTGTCCCGATAAGCATAATGAATGGTAACTTTTGGGATCCGTTTATGGACCGATACTATGCGTACAGTTTTATCTTATAACTGGTAAATAACTAAACTATTCATATTCATGTCCCTCTTATTATGAGCTTTATTTTGACTTATGAACTGTTATTGTACGATCTACCATTCTTGAATTATGCCCTGTCAATTATTACTTCCTCCCTCATTCACGGCCACATTTGACTAGTTCTTGAACAAATGTTGTTTCATATTTTATGGTACGATGTGGTCTGTCTGGTTGGTATATAAACCCAGTATGCTTAAAATAAATGATTCATATAGCAGAGACTGAGATTGGTGTTCTGCACTTAACAGGTAGGGCTAGGCAGAAGGTAGGACTGATAAGGACTCTAGACTGCTCGTACGTGTTCTATGCGTTATTATTCATGTCGATAATTCACCGTTCTCTAATTGGCAGTATCGTTACGTTATACAATAAACAGGGCACACAGGTCACAAGTTATAACACTTACCGTTCCGAGGTCAGCGACTGCCTAATTTGGTAGTTTCTACTGAAGGCAGGTGATGGATAAACTCAGCAATAAGCTTCGAGCTTTTTAAAAAAGGTCTATAAGATTTAACTAAATTTTTTAACCGCTGAGCTGATAAATAAAAATTTAAACCATTTAAGAATTCTTAATATTCTTAAACTTGTAAATACGTTCTGATAATAAATTACAACAGACATAAAAACTAAATCAAAAGAAATTTGTTAGTTGAATTCAGACAATTTAAACTTGGTCACACTACACTACAACCTCAAGTTTCTTAGCTTATTGCGTTCACAGAAAACTTTTACCTATAACTAGATATTCATTAAATAATTCGCACACTTTTAAACTTTTTCAGATATCTTATTTGCCGCTAACCCATCATGTTCTATATATTTAAAGAACAAAGTGCATTCCAGTTGGTTGTAAAAATTTGGACTTGTACCATTTTATTGTTGTTTTTTTCCGAGATTGAATTAATTACACATCTGCACTTTAATAAATGACAAAAGTGCACCGAAACAATAACATAAATACATATCAAAGTAAATTCATAAGTTGATCATATTTTCACAGTAAAATCCGAAATGAAGTTAATATTTGAGAACTCATTAACTGGTAGTACTACATCTCATTGCTGACGTTCACGTTCACATCAAACACTAGAAAGTTATTTTTAAAAGATGTTGCACCCAGTATGCTCCTAAAAACTTTCAAATTTAGAATGTTCGAAAATTTTAAGGCATCTTTTCAAGGACCTTATATGTTAGTAGAAGGTGATTAACGAAAAATTGAGTATCAACAAGGATAAAATATTGACTCATACAATGTACTATAAATACCATACTCTTCAAATAGTTTAGTAATTTAGTAGCTCAGTAAGCAGATAACGCCTTGGTGTTTTTAGTGTGAGCATCGAGTCTAGGTGAACATCAACACGAATGCAATCAAACCCAGTCAATCAGACAGAAATAAGATGAACAACTCATACTGGATGTCACAATTTATCACAAGATTACCTAAAATGTACCAAGTTAATGAATAACAAAAGTATTCGTAGCTTAAGAGAGAATGAAATATATTAAGTATTTTGTGTAAAACGATAATGAAATGTAATTCGTGTTTTTCTGTGTACTCAGATTTTTTTCTGATTAATCATTTCATGATGCTTGCATGTCTTAAAATAAATCTTTTGCCCTTAGTCTATTCCTTAAGTTTCAAGGATAACTTACAATTATCTATATTTTCTGAAGAACTGAAAAGTAACTAGTATAGATTCTCGCTGAAAACAATCAAATATTTCAACACTGAAGTCTTAATATGTGGTGTGATCTACTTATATTGATATAAGTAGTATATAACGTGCGTTAAAGGAACGTAATGTCTGGCAGCGGAAGATGGCGATGATCAAGAAAGGTAGAGCGAGAACACATTGGAATTTGTAAGAAAATGCATGAACAATGGAATGGGAGACAGTGGATTGGTGTTTGCAACAGAAACAGTCCAGTTTGATTTGATGCATGAATATTTTGCAAATTGACGATTGACTATATGGTATTCAGATTTTGTTGAGATAGACTGTAATTGTCGTGAAAAGTACATCCGTTTGTCCCCACCCGTGTTCTTGTTCACTACAAATATACTTACTTAAACTACTTTATTTGCTTTATTGCATAAATGTTTTGATATTGCTTTCTGGAATGTCGAAGTAGTCTATTGAAAGAAACCCTGGATTGTATTTCGCCTAGTATATATATATATATATATATATATATATATATATATATATATATATATATATATATCAGTTATACAATACCTAGTGAGTGAAGTTCCGTTGTAACCTGATTGGCAGCCGAGATAAATAAAAGAATAAGTTGATCTATTCATTTATTCAATTACACTACTCGTTATATTTTATTATATGCTACCATCAACACTATTTGTTTGCACATGCAAATTACTTAGTTTATCTATATTACCATAGTGATGTTACATGTTGTATAAATAATGCTTTGTTTAAATGCAAAATAGACAGACAGATAAGATGCTTATCTAAAGTTTGATATTAAGAACATTTCTCTGGTTCTCATTGTTAATTTTTTTTAAACAGTAAACTATATTGTAACAAGACAAATCAGTATTATAAATAAAAAGATTTAAATTCTTATGAACTGTAATTTTTAATTATAGAATGCTTGACAATTTTATAAAAATTCTAATCATCTTACTAAGTTTATTTACTAATTTGATATCTGTCAATGGATTTTCAATGAAATTACGAAGTTGGGATGATGTTTATGGTTATGATGCTATATGGAATTCACCTAGGGAAAAGGAATATACATTAAATGAAAGAACTGTAAATAATAATACATCTAAATACATTCAAAATAAAAATAAACAAATGAAGCTGAAAAATCAAGGTTTTGCTGATAATCTAATGCTAATCGACGGTGCATCAAAAAATGAAGGTACTGTATTAGTTAATCGACATGGTAAATGGGGTACAATATGCGACGATAACTGGACATTGAAAGAGGCAAATGTAATATGTCGTATTCTAGGCTTTCCATATGCCTTACAAGCTACAACAAGAGATTATTTCTTTTCTAATGGCGAATGTAAGTTTATTTAAGATTTCATACAAACTTTACTGATTAAATGATTCTTTTACAAAGATAATTCCTAATTACTTTCATGATTTCATTTAGTTATCTAAATAAGAAAAATATGTAAATGGATGGTTTCAGCGTATATCTTAGGTTGAACTGTTCCCAGAAAATGAAATCCAAATAGTTTATCTGAAAGCATAGTTGACTAGAAATAACTAAAATGTTAGACCATTTGACATATTAATCTCAGACAGATATTGATTTTACACAAACTTAATGATTCAATTCAGTGATTAAAATTAAAGTTGTTATTTCTCATAATTTCAATCATCAATGCTAATGCATTTCAAAGACTTCATCAAATGAAGATAACCATTTCATTATTAGAATACTGATTATATATATTGATAATATATTTAATGAGAACTTTACTTTTAGGGAAACTTGTGAATGATGATTAACTAAAAACCATTAACAAAAACAACTAATAAATTCTCTTTAAAGTGGTTAATTTAAGCAAATTGACCTTCAATAAAATATCCAAAACAATGATACGTTTAAAGGTTTCAGGTAACAGAACTTGTGATTAAAAAGATTGATTTGTACAAATAAGATTGTTTATTTTCCTAAAGAAAAATATATGTTCAATGAAATCTGTACATTCACCATTTGGAAAAGGTGTAAATTGTGGTTTCAAAACAATCCAAAATAAATTCACTCGGTGCTGTTTTACTTGTATCTCCTCATTGTTATTTAGTAATGCAATTGATCAGTCTCTTGTTGGCATATGTGCATCCTGTGCGGATTACCTCGGTATAGCTTTTAGTCCTAAGCTTTCTAAGTTAAGATAGATAGTGCCTAGTAGTGGAATCCAGGACTCGCATTTCGTCCTATTAGGGACTCGTCAGCTGGACATACTTGTATCCCAGAGTTGATGTTCACTCCAGGAAGATACAAGTAAAACTTCACCAAGTGAATTTAAACTTCACCCCATTGCACAAGCCAGTGGCTATCAGGACTCAGTAGCTAAATGTATAACGTGATAGCGTTTGAAGAGGACAGTATTCGGTTTGAGTCCCGGAGTTGACATCAACTCAGGAATGCTAGTACATCTATCTGACAATTCCCAAATAGAACAAAACAGACATCCTGGATTCCACTGATAGCCACTATCCATCTTTACTTAATCCATAATAGATCTTTTATGGGAAATTTTAAAATTACAGTATTGTTTAAACTAAAGGTCCGTTTTATTTAGTCTTTTTAGTAAATTAAATCAAATAACATAAGATATATTCATTTATTAAGCAGCATGAAAACAGTGTGATTCTATTAGCTTAACATTTACATATCTAATTGTACAATAGATAAATGTCTAAATACAAACAAATTCATATTTTAGTTCAGTTAAATGTAATGTAACATACTGGCTACTTAATTTCTCTTTACAATATCGGATATTTTCTTTTATCAAATTACATTATTATTTATTATTGAAGATAATAAGAACAAAGATTTAGGCAGAATAGCATGAATTCATTTTATTTTGTTTGGTTCTCGTCAGCTGCTTATGACATGTGATGTTTAAAAATCATAATTATAAAATGGGTTTGAATTGCTTACATGAAAGAGTTTAGACGGTAGTTACTTTGAAGGCATATAGGTGTAGCATAGCAAGGATGTAAATAAATTTAATAGATAGAATAAAATATTGCAAATGTATACCTTATGTAAAAGAACATTCTATAACATTGATAGTAGCAAATATCCAATGGTCTAGAAACAAGTGATCGCGCAACATGTAAACGATGATAATAAGAATAAGACGAGTAAAGCTCAGTTAATTAAAATAAGATCACTAATCTAGAAAACAGTCGAAATGAAATGACAAAATGATGTAATTAGTTAGGAGAAAGACTTTATGATGTAATAAAGGAATATTTGTCACCAAACCAAGGGAACATTAACAATCATCTCTTTTCGAACACGTAAATCAGGTTTTTGACTCCCGGTAGCAACGGCTTCAGTAAACTTCAGAAGACTGGAGTTCGGATGTTTATTAATCAACTTGAAAGATTGTACGGTATCAAGCTGATGCCACTCATCCAACAGATGTTTAGTAATTTCGCTGTTTAAAACAGTTGGACTCAGTGGTCCACGAATATAGTGCTCACTACGAGACGAAAAGCTGCTAAATTTGATCTCGCTTAGGTTATTCATTATATACAACTTAGTTGGTTTGAAGTGATGAAAACTCTCACCTAATATCTGCTATTCAATGGTCCTATAAACGGCGGAAAATCTTTGCCAAACCTATCTCCCGGTTCGTCTGATCTCCATAAACTAACTATCTATTACATTGTTTTATGATTTTACGTCGTGGGGTAATCTTGAGCAGTTACCGAAAACAGAAGATATTTAATAGCTGTGTAGTCCTTTTATGGAACTCCCTACAAGTGCTTATCCATCACCTTATCAGGAGTCTGAGCGACTTAATACTATACGAAGTACAAAGTTATATTATAGATATTTGAGTTGCTTAGTGTCCTACGCCAGCTTTAATCGGTAGTCCTATATTATATGTGATATCTGAAAATCTAAGCTATTCCAAATAATATGATTACTGAGGTCTACACTTGCCATATCCTTTAGTTATACATAGATATGAACTTTACATTAAATACAGTTCAGTCCTTCATACACATAGACAATGATTTCTTACATGACAACTAACGTTGTACAGCAAACACCTGAAAAATGATTGGTTTCATAGCAGTATTCATTGTTCTGTCCTATGAACACACTCTGTCTCATGTTATGAAAGTAAAATCGCTCAAATCAGTACTTTAGAAAATGACTTATTATTTTTTTCTACTTTTTCCTTTGAATTTACTTTCACTTACTTAGGATTATTATTTTTTCAGTCTTGAAAATATCTATTATATCGCTTTTTATATCTATCTACATACGATCTAATATTTCTTATTTCACTTGTCAGATGACTACTTACTAGATGATGTCTATTGTAAAGGAACTGAATCCTATTTAAATGAATGTGTTTATTGGACAGAACATGATTGTTTAAAACGCGAAGAAGCTGGTGTTATTTGTCTTAATCCTGAACCAATTAAATGGCAATATAATGTTAGGAATCCTCAAATTGAAAAATTGTCTATTACTGATATTAAAAGGATGAAAAAGGTCAGTGAATTTGTACTATAGTTTTAAACATTTGGCGCTATGGTTTATATTTTTATATTTAATGAGAGTTTATAAATAGTCATAAATCTGTTTTGGCATTGATAAAAGACTGCATAAAACAGTCATCATTTTATAATAATTGAGAGTCTTAATGTTAACTCAACGGTGGCATACTGGTTATGCTATCTCATAGAATATTGGAAGGTTTTCAACCGTAATGTCGAATTATGCTAACAAAAAACTAATAAAATATTACTAGTCTTACGGTATGTGCAACCGTTTGTTTTCAAAAAAAAGTGTCTACAGTCAAAAAATAGAAATAATCCTTCTGTTTGACTGTACCAATTAGCATAAACCAGTAGGAGAATAATACTCCCAAAGATTGTGTCATCCTCTCCAGTGATAATAAATCATAATGTCACATATATCTATATAATAATGAGTTATTTCCGGCCTTCGCTATGCTATGCAACGTTTCTTTTAATTCATAAAATTATTGCAATCAAACTAAGATTGATTATCTAACACAAAAATTTTGCAAACACTCAACATTACTTGTCCCTTGGTATAAAAGTTTCGAAAGATTTTCAAATTATCTGGAGAAAATCTAGCAATAAGATCACACTTTTTCAACTCCTAAATGTGTGATGGCATTTGTTAGATATTGATCTTTACCTAGTCTAAACTATAAGAAATTGGCGCATATAACTTTACTAAGAATGAGTCGTATTGTCCCTTACATTTCATTTGATTCGTTAAGTAATCATTACACTGAAGTGTGGCACTTCTTGCCGTGGTAGTTTTTAGTACATAAAGACTATATATATAGTTCCGGTTAGTGTTAGTTTCTACTCCAGGTCAATGGTTTCTAGTCTGAAATAATCTAAAACAAATATGGCCTACACTCAGGTCCTAATGTGTTGCTTGAGATGCTTTCGTGAAACGGAATTTTATTACTTTTGTGTTCTTTGGAAATGTTTTGCTTTCTGCTAATCAGCTATATGAGCAGTTACATCATGAGATTATACAGGTATCTAATCTTGGATGATATATTGTGTTATAGATAATTCTTGGAAGCATCCTTTTTCCATCGTTTTCAAAAAAACCCTCAACCCTATAACGAATAACTCAGTATAACTAATTTTTGAGGTGGTGAAGAAGATTTATACGTCAGGTGGATGATTTTGATGGGGCTTTGTTTTTTGAGCTGGATGGTTTGGTCTTGAAATTTTCATCATTCACAAGGATGACGAAAGCTCCAATAACCAAACCATCCAGCTCAAAAAACAAAACTCCACTAAAGTAACTACTTTTGTACGTCATGAAATGGTTTTAACTATAGTACAAGATATGTTCTTTACTTAGAATTCCTATGTATTTATACAACTAGTTAATATCATTTCTTGGCTACTTCATCTATGAAAGACGTGAAAAATTTAATGCTCAAATCATTCTTAAAGTTCGGAGCATTTTCTTACTGGTTAGAAAGAAAGTTTAAGAAATTTTAAGTGTAAGAATGTTTAGCATTCTATCAGCTCGAATTATCAAAATAGAAAATGCCATCATTATAAGATAAACACTTTAATTCTGCATCACTTGGATCTAGATTTACCGGAAAATGAATCTCAAGCCTCACACTATAAATATATTAGTATTATAGAAGTAAATCAGGGAAATCGGCTTTGGATGATGTAAAGACCTTTACATATCTGAGAAGCGTCATTGATGAATACGGTGGATCTGATGCAGAAATGAAGGCGCGCACCGCCAAAGTAAGAGCAGCATATCTACAACTGAAGAACATCTGCAACTCAAAACAACTGTCAACCAACACCAAACTCACAATTTTCAATACAAATGTCAAGACAGTTCTGCTGTATGGGGCGGAAACTTGGAGAACTACGAAAGCCATCATCCAGAAGATACAAGTGTTTATTAACAGTTGTCTATGGAAAACACTTCGGATCCATTGGCCAGATATTATCAGGAACAACCTACTGTGGGAGAGAAGAAACCAGATTCCATCGGAGGAAGAAATCAGGAAGAAGCACTGGAAGTGGATAGAACACACATTGAGCAAAGCACCTAACTGCATCACAACGCAAGCCCTTACATGGAATCCCCAAGGCCAAAGGAGTAGAGGAAGACCAAAGAACACATTATGCCGAGAAACAGAGGCAAACATGAGATGAATGAACAACAATTGGATCGAATTAGAAAGGAAATTCCACGACAGAGTGTGCTGGAGAATCCTGGTCGGTGGCCTATGCTCCACTGGGAGTAACAGGCGTAAGTAAGTAGATAAGTAAATCATGGGCAGAGTAGAGTGGTATATCCTATAACGTTAAAAATGAAGGAATCATATTTTATTTTAAAGTGTATATCCTTTTTATCATATTCAAAGAAATTTCTCATTGATCCATAAAACTAGAACAAAATCTAAACTGACCAACTATGTTCATACAATTCAACATATCATGATATACTATCAACTTATCATTAAGTTGAATGACTAAGTTAAGAAGCGATAATCAAAAATGACCGCTACAACATAGAAATTAACTATCTTTTTCAAAATACTTTTTTTGTCAATATAAATGTTTGAAATACATATCGAAAGTATTATTTAACCGAACATAGAAAAGTGAATAAATTACTTAGTTTCAATAACAAACATTCTATAAGTTAATATTAGTGAATAAGAAATTCAACAAACTGTAATGTTAATAATTTTATTCCATTTAGTCTTTCTTTTTTATTATTATTATTTCAAAATCTACACTTATAAATAAATCAATATATTTAGGAAGTTGCGCCATCGTACACCATTGTCTTCAGTGAGTTGATATCCCATAACAGACCTGGTTGAACTCCACTGGTAACGGCTTCTCACTAGAACTCCAGGAGTATCTCTTGAAGTCAGTCACTAGTGAGCAGATTATTATTATCAGAAGGGGTTTGTGGAGATTTTAGAAATTTCACAGATTGAAACCATCAGTCAATTGAAGCTAGACCACCATGGAAAACGTGAAAGCACTGGATGGCCGTTTTGTCCTATTGTGGAACTCCTCAGCAGTGCACATCCACGATCCCGCACCCTGCGAGATTCGAACCCAGGACCTGTCAGTCTCGTGCCAATTGACTGATAGTTTCAATCTGTGAAATTTCTAAAATCTTCACAAACCCCTTATGACAAAAATTAATATATTTATAATATTAAAAGACTAGTATTTGAACGAAGAATATTCTTTTCAATAAATTCTCTTCAGGTTCTATAATTCATATATCCAAATTATGGCCAAGTTAAGGGAAAAATGAATCGTTTAAAGTCAAAGCATATGAATTTACGATTGTCAAACAAAATAGAATCAAATTATTAATCTTAATATTACTCATATAGAATGTTAACTTGAATCTGCATATATGCTAAGTGAAATTTTAAGATTCATGATCAGAATAAAAATGGGTCAAATAGGGTGAGAAAAAAATAGTAGTGCAATTACAACGTAAGCCACTTCTTCAGAGAATAAATAAAAATGGCTTCCATTAATTCATGAAATGTCAGTAAATTTAATTTTTTCTACTCATTGAGATATTACAAATTTATTAATTTATTTATAACAATCTATTCAATTTATACAAATTAGTTAAATTTCAATCGTCGATCAATTACTTACTGTCAAACTATCCGTTATATTCTTGACGAATATTCGTATAAATTATTTTCTAATTGAATTAAATTATCAAAGCTTTGATGATTTTGATTATTACCTTGAAGAAGTCTAGACAAGTTAGCTAGACGAAACGTTGGAATTAGTTAAATCCTAATCGCTGAGAATATTTCAAATATTATTTTCACAGATAATGACTAATCTATTCAATGTTCAATTTATTTGAAATGATCAAATCTACATTTATATAAAAATGTGACTAGTATCATCTAAATATTTTTGGATAATATAAAATGTTAAATAAAATAAAGTGTCTTAGATCTTCTCTCATTCATCACTTAATGGAATTCGTTTGTCAATAAAACTTAAAGTGTCGTTAGTGATATACAAAAAAAAAGTCGATTGTAATTCATAATTTTATTGGTGCTAAAATCTCTTCTCGATACATCACATGAATAAATAAACACACTTTATTTATAAAAGAAAAAAAAATAACTTTTCCTTTTAATTTTCTTTTCAATTACTTTACTCTATCATGTGCTTTTCCCAGTACTTCAAAAAGGTTTTTACTGTGTTTTTTTTCTTTTAAATTATTAATTACGTAATATATATATAAACAAGTCAGTGGATTATATAGATTACTAGCTGACCATTAAAAACTGTCAGTCATACGAAAGTATATATATATGGGGTAATTAGGGAATTTTATTAAGATTTTATTAAACTTGAATAAAATAGTATCTAAAAGTACAAGAAAGATAATACCACATGTTACCAGAATACTTAATTGTAAACAACTATTTATTTTGAATGATATTTTGATTTGTATAGTTATCATGACGAGACTCTAATTTATGGACGAGCCAATCAGAAGCGGTTTAAAGACTTCAAGGTTTCGGCGTCAACTTCAGTGCTTAGTGCTAATGTACGATCGGTTCACAGCGAATTTTGTACAAAACGTGATAATTGAGCGACTATATTAGATGAAACGGTGACACTATGATATGTGGACGAATCGATAAAGTATAAGATAATAAATCTCCGATTTTAACGCGAAAGCCTTTCATCCATCTGGCTAAATAATTTTCTGGCATTATAGCTGATGTCAGTTCGTGATGAAAACCCCATATATAATTCCTAACTAAGGCAAATTACGACAATTACTTCGAACTGGATAATAATAGCACCAGTAACATTGGCTGCAGCCAGATACTACAATATATACGGATGTTTGGAGAGCGTACATACTCCTACACAAGCTTGGTTATGTGCATAGTGTTGCTATCCACAGGTATCATTTTGAGTACTCAACAACCAGAGTACGCACAAACAATATTGAAGCTATGTAGTCGAGGCTGATAGAGTTTTGCGACCTTATCATGGCTCCAGAGGCCGACTATTCTGTAGCCATATGGATGATTTCCTCTACTGCATGCATTGCGATTTTAGAACATCTGAACCTCTTTCTAACCTTGACAAGTTTTTGAACCACGTATAAAAAGTGTATCCACTTTATTTCCATGGTTTTGTATAATATCTTTTTACTCTATACTGGATGTTTGCTGATTCGCTAATATTCTCAGGGTCACTTAAGATTCGTTCAAAGGTCATCCATAAATTAGAGTCTCGTCCTGTGTGTATATTCAGTTTTATTGTCAACAGAAGAATTTTTTAAATCTTTTTTGTGAATCTATAGTATTTAGTTACCTCATTTTTCTTTTTTTTCTTTATGGTCAAATATTAGAAAAACTTAAAAGTTCATTCAATGTTCTTTTAATTATGCATAAATTAAATCTTTACATAGATTCACTATTCAAAAGATAGATGATTTTTAGTAGAGTTTTGTAGAAATGATTCGATAATTTTGTTGAGTAGACTTAAGAATGAATTATCTTTATTTACTTAATGATTGACAATATAAAGTTTTCTCTGGGTTGTTTTTTTTATTTACTCAATAGTATTTTTTGTAAATTATTGTATCCCACGTTCGTATCAGTAACTGATTTCCCAGCTAATCATTACATAATTTTGGTATGTTAATCGGTCAAAACTATTGCTTATCGAGTTTAGTACATAATATCTAGGAATTATTTAAAACCATACTTCAGTCATTAGTAATTGTATAAAATTAAAGGTAAAACTATAAGTTGACAAATCACTGTATTTAAAGAGGCTTTACATTCTTGTTGGAGTAATTCCATCATACTTTTAAAAACTTTGTAAATGATCTAATTACTAATACCTTTGAATTACTAACACTTATAGCAAATTGGTTACCATTTCGAATTAAGGCTCGACTAAGAATAACTACATATCCGCTTATAGCGAGTGAATCAAATTACGTTTAACTAGTTTTGTTCTTACGTTGTCAGCAGTTATCATCTTTTGTAATGTTTGTTATATTTGAAAACTTATACAATCGCTTAAATGATATTACTTTGTAAGTATTTATTCCGTTCACGATACTCATGGTATTCAACATTAAGTATGTAATGAATGATCTATAAACAAATATACTGTTACTTTGGAATACGCTTAATTAAACTTGTCTACTTCATGTCTGAGAAGCATGAATGATTTGATTTATATTAAATTTTACATAATAATCTGATTGTAGATATGAAAAATAATATTTGGAAAATCTAGTTACATTCTCTGATTTTGGGAACTAGAAAAGTCTGTAAAAATTGTGAAGTCAATAGAGAAGTGAATAAAACTCCATAATTACTTAAGGAGAATTGATTTCCCTCCAGATTCATTAGTAGCAACCCATTCCTCTCTAGTTTTACAGCCTTGTCAGTTATTTTTTTATGTGTCTGTTTCCTTTTGATTTGAATCATGTTTGTTAGTTGGACAATCATCATTTAGATTACTTTCCTGTATGTTATCTTGACTTCTCGTTATAACTGCTCAGTTATTACGTAACACTTATTCGATACTTAGTTTCCAGTGATGTTGTTAATGATATACTAAATTTTCATTTTATTATATGCTATTGTGTGTAAAATAACTATGAACTCAGCATATCTGTTTAAATAAATGGAACAACCGCAAAGAAAAATTTCTTTGTTAAACTGTTTTTATAATGCATGAGAGTAAGAGTAAGAGTTGTGGAATTTTAAATGTCCTGAACAATAACTGAGATTCCAAGATGTGAACGTAAATAGTATCGGATTATGAACACATCAAGCCAGCCTAGTATTCATCGCTTGGTAAGTAGAAACTAACGTTTTGAGCTTTAAGCTTTCATATTTCGTAATACTCATGTACAAAATACTACTTTTCACACTATTTTGAAACAATAAATTAATCAAATTAGTTCTAATGGTAAGATATTTTATACCCACTGTTGATTCTGGTCAATAAAATCAGTTTACTAGCCATCTAGGGTTAAACAAACGTCAAATTGACAGACAAAGATGTTAATTTCTGAAAAATTGAGATAATAGGTTACATTACCGTCCCTGATAGTTGGCTAATTTGTAATTTTTTATTTTAATATCGTACTACTATTTAGTAGCTAAAGTATGTTCAACGAAATATTTCTTAGAATGATGTTTTGATATTCCTGTCTGAACATTAAAACATTTTAGTAATGTTGCGCTCACTCAGTTTGATGGCTTAATCATACAGTTTCCACTGTCCCTCTATAAAACGCCATCAGTAAAAACTTAAAATTGAAGTGAAGATATGATCAGAAATCAGTAAACATGAAATATAAACGCTTTTTGATTTCAGTCTGTATTATTAGATGTATCGATTCATACTAGCTAAAATATATTTCGAAAGGATATAATTTTAGTCCTTTTAAGCGGCCCATTTCTGATTGGAAGGCACTAGAAAACCAGTGCCGAAAGAATCACTTAATTCCCACAAGGCTTTTATAAATAAATTCCTTGTTGTTTTTTAAACTATGGACCATCTTTAATTTTATACCGAATTTTCTACTTTAGGCATTCTTCAATTTATAACTATTCAAAGAAGCATTTATCTTATGATTAGTTGATTTTTTAACACGTTACTATCCGCTCAACACTTATGGAAAGAGTAAGTGTTGCTATAATCACCCAAGTGACATTTTTTATTAATGGCCTGAAGAAAAAGAGAATAAAAGTTGTTTATGTTCAATTAAGCCAAAACTATAAGAAGCTTTCAGTTTATCTAAGTGCACCCACTGGTTACGAGGCTAGAGGAAAATAAGGATCTCTTAAAAGGTGAATTCTTACCGGAACAACAGCTTTAAATAACTCAACCACTAATCAGCTGAGAAATCTCACCAACTTTGTTCCATCTTGTTCCTGAATCTTGAGCTCCACTCTTCATTGACATTATTTCCAAAAGTATATCAGAATTACGCCGTTATCTTAATTGTGATGCATCCAGTATTTGATACCAATGTTATGGTTTACTTTGTGACGTTGAATGTTCAAAATCTGATACTGATACACGGTGTGCTACGTGCTAACCCCTCCTCAACTGACTACTTGAGAGAGAACCCAAGAGTGAGCGAAAAATTGTATTAGACTACCGCATAAAATGCGAAAATACTTATTTACATACATACCACTCTATCCGTAGTAAATTGACTTATTTCTTAGCCAATGAAATGCACTTGTCCTTCAGGTCCTTCTGATTTTTGTCGATTGACCTTTTTATTAGGCTACATCATGGTAAGTCAGTAAAGCATCTGACTATCTGCTCTATGCTTCAAATAATCCAATCTTCTCCGAGTAAAAACATACTTATGAAAGTATCGAAGGCCATCATAAATAAGATAACGCTTACTAGCACGCATGCACGTGACACTATCTCTTGAGCAGGACATAACACTTGTTTCCAAAATTCCCAAGTGTTCCAGAAAATAGTTGCATTAAACTTATGAACGCTTTTATCTAATCGTACATAAATATCTAAATAGTGTGTTATCATACAGAAACGCCAATCATCACTTCGTTTTCACAGACGCCTAGATTGCTAGAAATGTTTTAGTTCAAAAATTTTATTACTGAGTATTGACTATTCATTTTAATATAATAGTAAGGAAAGTAAGGTAATAAGGGTTAGTAATTCAAATTTTATACTACTGAACTTTTAATTTTAGCAAATATTTTGGTCTGAGCTGGAAACATATGAAAGCAGTAATCTTTTTGTTGTCAAGGCTAGAGTTCCACAAGGTAGGAATCGACGGATGGTTATTGGAGCTATTTGTGTTGACCAGTTTCGTGGAGCTGAAGCGAATGTAGCATGTCGAAGCATAGATTATTCATTTGCTTCATCATATTCTTCAGTAAGTTAATTAATTTCATTGTAACCACTATTTCTAGGTCAGATTTATCATAAATTATGAGTAGTGAATTTACAAAGACATAGTTTTTAATATTTCGAACCCATGATATTGAGTAACTTTGAGACCAAGCTAAATTATCTTCACTTTTTACAAACTTGTGAAGCTGACAGCAAAAATTTTAGTTGACTAACATTAACTATGTTACTCATTAAGATATAGCCAAGAAGTCTATAATCTATAACACTAGCGGCTTTGTTCATTTTAATGATAAACTAATTTAAAGTTTATCAATATTTGTAAGGGTGTTTATTTTCCTGTTATTAACAATTAAGACAAACTTCAATCCATCTCTTTCGGAGTATAGGCTCCTTGAACTAACAGTATGTATCCACAAGTTGTCATCAAAAATAAAATCCATTAGATGTTGATATTTGTACTTGGACTTGAAAAAAATACTCACGACTTCAAACACCCAGGCGTTATTTACTAAACTACAGAATCGTAATACCCACCAACTGACTGAACTTCTATGATATTAATTACTGATTGTGAATATTCATTATGACTCACTAAATAATCTCAGTATTCTTTATATCAACCACAGTATAAATCTCTAACTCATTGATGTAATAATGTGTATCAAATTATTATCTTTTCATAAACATTTTTTACGATACAATTTCTATAGAAACCAATAGTGTACTAATAATTTAAATGTGCTGATTTTTAATATGTTAGTCAATAATTTACGGACTTTCGAAACTGTTATGTACACGTACAGTTGTCTTTTCTTCTATGTACTATAATGTCCATCTTTGCGAGATGATAACACAATATTGACTGGAATAGAAGTTAAATAAAGTTCCTTTTACTTTCTGTGAACTGTTTGTTCTCTCTTTCATTTTTCAAGCTTTCTACAGAAGACATTTTTGTTTTTTTACATGTCATTTATTATCACTCTTCAGTAAAAATTAAATCAGTTAATTAAAGTCTCTTGTAAAGGATTATAGATTTAGTATCCAACCCATTGATTATAAGTGACTAAATATATATTTAATATAATTTTATGTCATGACCAAATGTGACAAATTAGTTGTAAAGGACTTAAATCACTGAGACAATAGTTCTTTGATTTAATGTTGACCTTTCAGTAAAATTCTAAAATTTTATAGTTTCATCAGTTTTAAGCTAAGCAGATAATCCGTTGCACTCTTAATCCTTTGGTGCCAGAGGTTATGACTCAGGAATAAATTAACCGACGTCATTCATTAGATATCTACAACATCCTAAGAGTTTTGCAATCCTTTTATTACAACCTGATAAAGACATTGTATTTCATGGTATGCGAGCCCAAAGAGTTTATTAAAAATTGAATCAGATCAGTAGTCTGAGCAAAAACTTTCTTTGTTTCTGATTCACAGATACTTTTCATCCCAAATTCACAAGCAAACAACAAACAGGAATGAAATGAATAAATGCTTAATTTTAGTGTAAGACTGCTCAGTAAAGCCTACTGAAATTTAATAAAGGCACTTTCATTTTATTACCGGTTTATTTAGCATTCACCTAGTGATAATATCTTAGATTTAAAAATCATATGCCATGTAACCAAATTGCATATAATTTGATAAGTGATGATTTTCCTACCTAAATCATTGCAATCATAAAATGCTGTTTATTTTAAGATTCCACTGAAAAGCGTGAAGACTTTTACCAAACCTTATCCGGTTGTAAGAATCGGGCATTGTTTTGGAAATGAATCAAAATTAGAAGATTGTGTTGCATTCACTGATCCAAACGGAGTACCATGTTCAAATAATAGTTTAGGAATAGCAGTAAACTGTTCAACAGGTAATTTTAAATTTAGATAATTATTTTGTTATTCATACTTATCATGTACAGTAGTTTGTATTGATGATTGTTGTTAATCAAGTCATTCAGTATCAAACTGCATAGTCAAACGCAATGAAAACAATCGACATTTTTATGCTCACAAGTGTTTATGATAATTGTTTCGATGTTTGACATAGACAGCTAATGAGCCAACACCTCAAGTTTTACGTTAATCAAGTGAAAATCTTAAGTAGAAACTAATACTATCTATGCAGAATATCAAATAGAACTTAAATTACACAAGTTTGAATATCTTCCTTAATACAAATTTTCCACATTCCATAAGATGTATAGAGTTTATGTAGAACTGTCGAGTACAACAGCTAAGCAAGTCATGAAGTGTTTTTAATATTTCGTGAATAATATTTCATTCGCAAGCCCATCCTAAATCTAGAAGAAAAGCAATTTATACATCTAATAAAGCTTATTTATATCCCCTCGATGAAATTGCCATACAGTTGAACAAAATAGACTAAAATAATGATTTTTACAAGATTACCAGAATACTATTATTTCTTTCAGTCAGTAATGATAAACATTATGATTGTTTTGAATTTCAGTTTATGTTCATATTTTTTGTAAATTCACACACGATTCAAATATCCCCAAATCGACTCAGTCCTAAGAATCAGCTAGAAGATACAAACAAGCAATATATATTGATGTTCAGACAAGAATGATAATCATTGGTTATTTCCTTCGTCAAACTAGTAGGTAGTTTGACAGATACTAGATAAGTTATCTATTCTCTTACGCTTATTATTGTGATTGTTGTCGGTTTTCGGTGTGTAAATATACTTACGTTCTAGTCAGGCTAGTCACATGTTCTTGATCTGAGTTGTGTTGGCATCCTGTAGAATAGACACTGGGAGGGTATCTAGTGTATATATTTGTCTGCGGCTAATTAGCGTCCCATTTGTGTAGACGAGGAAAACTGAGAGTTATAACATATGAATTAAAAACTAAACTCCTTGTTTTACTAAATAACTGTGATTCTGTATGGCACATGCCTTTTGTGTGTGTGCAAGCGGATGAGTATGAAAGAATCTCATTTAATGCGAATGAGTCATTTGATTTGAATGTATTTATAGTATGATCGTGAACAAGTTGTTTGTGGTTGCATCATTCTGCTTAGTAACATTTTCAACTATAACCATAAATCAATGTTTTTATTTGTAAATATAGTTTTAGCTGATTTGGAACCAGATGTTAAAGCATTGGAATCTTCAGCTTACAGTAGTATGATTCCTTTATTTCAAGCACAATGTGCTTTAGAAGAAAACTGCTTTCCTCCGAGTGTTTATAATTTGATTAACAGAAATCGACATTTAGCGTTGATGCATATGCGTCGTTTATTGCGTTTTTCTTCAATTATACACAATGTTGGAACTGATGTCTTTCGTCCACATGAACCGCCTGAACGATGGGTATGGCATGCATGCCATATGTAAGTTTGTCAAGTTGATTGTTAAAAAATGCGTTTGTTCATCTTTATGCTCTATGAGGGATCGAAAGTAGTATTGAACTACCTATAAGTTTAGAAACTATAGATCAAAATGATGGATTGTGTTTAGCAGTTAAATCCAGGACACACGTCTTGTGCTAGTTGTGACTCATCGACGGAATGTTTATGTACCACAGTTTCAATTAACATAGCGGAACCAAAACTCAGTATTTGCATTCACAACTATAAAACCCGAAAACTTACATACGTACAACTTCATATCAGTTGAATGAATTCGTGACCAACTGAACCCACTGACTCAATGAATAGGGCGTTGGACATTCGACGAAAAAGTTAACGGTTTCTAGACCCAGGATGAACAACGACAATGGGATAAGGGCATATCTATCTGATGAATCTCAAACAGGATGAGGTGGTCGTCCCGGATTTTACTCCCAGACACAATTCATCTTTACCAAAACTTAAAAATATCCTAAATATAATCAGTATGATTTATTAAATTATAATTATTTTAATATTGATATCAATCAACTCATTTATTGCTTGTCAATCAAAACTTTATTACTTCAACTGCAATTACGCATACTCGTTAGCCATCAACAAAGTTAGCAATTGAATAAAAATAGAATAATGACAGAACTATTTTAAAATAAATACAAATTTTCTAACCAATAAGCATACAAATGTATTGTATAGTGAGTTACTAACTATCAATTTTATAGATGAATAATTAGAGTACGTTTGATTTTATCAGTATATGTTATTAATAAATATAAAAATCAGATGAGGTTTTGTGGAGATTTTAGAAATTTCACTGATTGAAATCATGGGTCAATTAAAGCTAGACCACCATGAAAAACCTGGAAGCACTGGATGGCCGTTTCGTCCCAGTATGGGACTCCTCAGCAGTGCGCATCCACGATCCTGCACCCCGCGAGATTCGAATCCAGTCTCGTGCCAAGCGCTTAACCAAATAGGATGAAGGGGTATAGTTTACGAAATGTAGAGGATGAAAAGCGAATGTCCGGCACTTTAACCGAGTTGATAAACTCGAAGGGTTCACCTAGGGCAGTTGAAAAGCCCTGATTTCAAATCAGTGGTGCACATGGGCTCCAGTATCCTGAGGGAACAAAAGGCGTATGAACCTAATGTTGGTCACTGGCTATCATGGGACTGCATCTCCTGACGTCACTCCACTACCTTTAGATCGAAGACTCTGCGTGTGATCCCCTAAGGAAACCACCTGCTTCGGTTTGATCACTCGGGCAGTATTTTAGCCCACGCATAAATCAAGTGACTAAAAACGAAATCAAATCATTTATAAAATCAAAGCATGAACATATATTTTTATTGTTAACTCTATAATCTAATCGAAATAGTTCAAAGTTCCACGACAAATCGGATTGAACAATTAGAAATAAAACAGTTATGATTAATTCAAAATAAACATTGATCGGGAACTTTATTAATTTTTACAGTTTGCTTTATTTTTTTTATTTTTTGCTATTTACTTGAGACTATTCAACTTTATATTTTAAGATGTTTGGATTTTAGTAACTTCTATAAGAAATTTCGTCTAAATTTAATCGAACAGTTTCATAGTATTTGATTGAGATCATGAACTGATTGATGTTAGACCACCGTTGGAAGCCTGGAAGCACTGGACAGTTGTTTTGTCCTATTGTGGGACTCCTCAGCAGTGCGCATCCACGATCCCGCTTGCGGGATAAGACGAAACGGCTATCCAGTGCTTCCAGTTTTCCAATGGTAGTTTAACATCAATCGGTTCATGATCTCAATCAAAAACTTAATAATCTTTGCAACCCCTATACTGATAGTTTCATAGTATTCGGGCACTGAGTTGATGTGAAACATTATATAGAGGATGAATGTATTTGTAAAAATCTCAGCAAATTAATTTACCGGGTGAAAAGTTGAATTTACTTGAAATTCATTTGTTGATATTTTACAAATACATTTGTCCTCTTTAATTTTAGTAACTTTGTTCATATTACATTTTTAAAATTCTCTAATGTATAAGACAACTTTTCTAATATTAGTAAGACAATTTTATTTTGCAACAAAATTAATTGTATATTATTTCATAAATCATATCACTGTACTGTATTAGCGACTAATTTCAATGATTATTACTATTTAAAAAGTTTAATTTTAATCAGTTTATGTAGCCTAAATGCGTGAGTAAAACGTAAATTTTCCAAAAAAGAAATATTTTATATCAGAGGGGTTTTGTGCATTTTATAGTAATTGTAATGATTGAGATCATGAGTCAATTGAAGCTAGATCACCATGGAAAAACTGTGGACACTAGACGGCCGTCTCGTCCTATTGTGGGACTGGAGTTCTAGTGAGAAGCAGTGACCAATGGAGTTCAACCGGGTCTGTTGTAAGACAGTAAGTCGCTAAAGACATTGGTGTGTGTCGCTCAATTTCGTGGATTAGTTGAAGTTAGACATTAACATCATTGGATGCCGGCCGGCTCAGTGGTCTAGTGGTTAAGTGCTCGCACGCGATACTGATAGTTCCTGGGTTCGAATCTCACGGGGGGTGGGATAGTGGATGCGCGCTGCTGAGGAGTTCCACAACAGGACAAAACGGCCCTTCAGTGTTTCCAGGTTTTCCATGATGATCTAGCTTCAATTGACTCATGATCTCAACCATAGAAATATTTTAGTTCAATATTAATTTGTTATCAGTTTGAAGATGTAGAGATTGTTGAATTTTATTGTGAAATCATGAGCTGATCAATATTAGATTGTCATTGAAAATCTGGAAACACTGGATACTAACAACATTTTACCCATTTTCAACTAAGATAAACACATTAGTGATTAAGCATCAATACGATTGAGTTTCACAATTATGCTAAACAGATCATAAACTATTGGTATGTTTATTAAAAAAAATATAACTAAACATTAAAGCAAACGATTTAGTAAACTATTCAAACAATATAAGTAAAGATGGATAGTGGCTAGCAGTAGACTTAAGGAAATATCGAAGAAATCCTTACAGGATGAACATATGCCAATATCAGACTGATCAATTGCAGTCCTAAACATCAATAGGAATATTCAAACAAAGAATACAAAATAAATTTATTCAGAAATATTTTTGATTAAATAAACAATATTGACCTCTTTCTCATTTATTTCGATTGTGTTTATGCATCTCTGCTTAATTACTCTTTAATTTATATCTTTTTTTGTCTTTTAGGCATTATCATAGTATGAAAGTATTCTCTTATTATAAAGTTATCAATGCAAAGCAACAAATTATGGCTGTTGGTCATAAAGCTAGTTTTTGTTTAGAAGATAATGCTTGTAAAAATGGATATAAAAAACATTTTGTTTGTTCAACCACACTAGTAACACGTGGGGATCAAGGTGAGTAGAGAAATGAAATTTTACGAATTCTATTTAAGAAATATTGACAGTACGTTTGTATAGTTTTGACCGGATGCCTTAAAAGTTTTAATCGTATCGATTTATCTACGGTCTTTTCAAGAATTTACTCCTTCTGCCCCATTTGATTTAAAGATGTTTTCAATTAAATATAACACTAACCCATTCACTAGAATCGTAGGATTTTGATGTTCTAATTAACCAGTACATTGATGAAACTACACAAATCATTATCGTTGTATAGTGAGTTTGAAAATTCATAATACGGTTTTTAATTGACTGTAACCACTTTGAAATTACACTACAAGTGGGTTACTATCTCAACATACAGAAATATACGCCCAAGAAACTTTGTATCCAACCACTACTATCCTACTGTACAGAATATGAAAAAAATGGTATTTGTAAAGTACCATATAAAATTGTCAGTCGTGCAAAATAGGCAGGATATTTCCTAACAGAATTATATTGCTTTGAGAAAGATTGAAGACTAAGAAGCAAAGGACAATCATTTTATTGTATATAATACTGTATAACAGTTACCTTATACAGGATTCCAGTATTATCATGTTTCAATTGAAAAGTTGTTATCGATAAATAAGAAATAAATTTGATTATTAATCTACTTATTTTTATCTAATAACTAAGTTATTTTGTTTATTGATTTAACTAAACGACCTTTAGTTAATTAACACAATTTTAAAAAAACCACTTTGTTAGATACACTTTAAACTGTACTGAATATTTTTGTTTAACAGTGATAATTCACACTTAACTATAAACAATCAAGTAACTTCAAATAAGATAATAAACTATATTGAAACCCATTAATAAATAGTATATTTTCATATTAGATAATTGAAAAATAAAACAACAACAACAACATTAGAATCAACAATGAAATCATCTTATAAACCATAGACTACAAAAGTTAAAAACAATCAAAATCTACCTTCAACATTTAACACTGAAATAATCTACTTAAAGAAAGACTAGATTTAATCATATTGATCAAATTAACTAATTCGAAAAAAACTATGAAAGTATTTTGGTTGGAATGTTTTATTTTTTTGCTTATAATTTGAATATCAACAAATGAAACAACCGATTAGGTATTTTTTTATCACTAAAATGAATTTTTATTTTATTTTTTACTTAAACATTTAATTATTTCCAGAAAAGTTTTTTGTGGATATTACAGTAATTTAATAGTTGCATTCATGAGTCAATTGAAGCTAGATCATCACGATAAATCTGGTAGCACTGGATGGCCGTTTCGTCCTATTGTGGAACTCCTCAGCGGCGCGCATCCACGATCCCAACCCCCGTGAGATTCGAACCCAGGAACTATCAGTATCGCGTGTGAGCGCCTAATCACTAGACCACTGAGCCGGTCGGCATCCAATGATGTTAATGTCTAACTTCAATCAATCCATGAAATTGAGCGACACATCCACGATCCTGCCGTCCAGTGCTTCCATGTATAAATTTAACTGACATTCTATCAACTGCAACTTAAAACTTCTCATAACATTATGTACATTTTAAGTGTATGTACTGGCTATAGCAATAGAGCAATATACAAGGTTAAAACGTGGAATTTGGTCTAATCATACATCAGTCTACAGTAAACTAAAGGATCAGAGTGTGTCGTTTATTAGTTACCTCACTCACCAATACTGGAAGAATAAAGAATAATTATCACAATATTAGTGTAATCTGATCACTTAGAAGTAACTTTCAAAGTCGCGTTAAACTCACTTATGTTAGACGATCATATATGAATACATCAGTCGTTTTATTTTGCCCTGAGATTGAAAGTCATGTCTCTTCATATACATTGTATCTTTGTTAATTTCCGCCAGTACAAATCAACTATGACTTACAAAATAAAATAAATCCACTTTACATTTAAAAGTCTAAATTTACAACAAGGAATAGAATTTTCAAAAATTGATTTACATGTATTGATTAACAACTCTGAAATGAAATTAGTAACTTAAGGAAACGAAGTACATCATTTTTGTCTAAGATTAGATTGACCAACAAAAATATACTGTTACTTTAGTCATTTCAAATCAATATTCCAAGCTATCACGAGTCTTGATCTTACAATTATCGTTGTACATTAATGCCTCAACCTGTTTTCATAAGTTGTGACAATATAATGAATCTTATTAGTTGATTTGAAAACCAAAAACTTAACTTACTGAATTAGTACGCAACTGCCTAGATCCACAAATATGAGTACATAAGACAATGATCTGCTCATTTCAATTATTTTGTTTGAACTAGAGGGTTTCTAACCTACCTTAGACTTCATTTAACCATGTAATACTTTCGACATCTACACACATGTCATGTAGTTTCCTTTCAATTCAATTATTTATGCCATTTTATTCTTTGTACCTTAGAAAATAGACACTAAATAACAAGAGAAATGCAACTTGTTAACTTATCACATCTAACTGGTTATAATAAGGACGAATCAATAGAACAATCTCGAACTTCTGTTAGCTATTAGACTGTTCAAAATATTCGTTAATCAAATAATCCAGAATTTTTTACTTTTGACTAACAGTCAAGGTTCAGCGCTGTGTCTATAGTAAAATCTATTATAAGACTTGTTCAGATTTTGTTATTCTACCAAAATTCACTATACTCTAAATCCAACAGTAAAATGTAGTAAGCCTGATGAGCCATGGTTGGTGCAGTTATTTTCTCCATGTTTCTCGATATGAATCAGCATCACCATTAACGTACGAAACCTCTTTCTCGCAAATAACTATGTGGGAAGTCAGTAGAAGGAAGTTATCTGGCCTCGATGTGATAAGAGATGTGCACTATCGTGAACTGACTGTAGCTCAAAGATATAAGCAATTGAGTTTCATCTCACTGATTCAATGGTATCGTGCTGAAGGTCATGGTTTAACAAATCCGGGATAGGTGTGAACAAACGAAGATTAGCAAACTGAGAAATAACCATAGAAGACAAGCTGGTTACGAATGGTTCTCTAACTGATGTTAATCTTTTTAACAGATGGCATCAATTGCACAAACACTGGAAAATACAAATTAATCACTTTATGCCATCGTTCTGACATTGTATTATAGCAACTTGGGGTAACATACATTTGTTCCAAGCTGTGTTGATCGCAACCGACTGGATATTTCTTGAATGTGATCTCATGATATTGGTATCATGAATTAAGATAACCACCCTTAAGCTATCTCGTCAATCACCACGATTGCGCATTATTAAATTGCAATATCAAATCCATTTTTATTGAATCCTTGACTTCGCGACTTCTAGTATTTATAATAACATAAATCCCTCACTCAACATTTTTATTGCTATACTATACAAGGTATTAGTCCTGGATGCCAAGATAATTATTTCCACGATTATGATTGTCAATGGTTGGATATTACCGATCTAATTCCAGGTGAATATTCATTTCAATTGATTTTAAATCCAGACTTCTTAGTACCCGAAATTACTTACAAGAACAATGCTATAGAATGTCGTCTATCTATAGGGCATACAAATCATCATTATGCCGCATTATCAAAGTGCCATTTGGTACATCCGTATGATTTGTGAAAATTCACAATTGCACACGGTCACATACATAAACATATCAGTCTTACTTTGAAAAAACATCTAATACCTATGTAATACTCATATAAATTAGATACAATTATTATCCTGTAATCACATTATAATATTGATTCACATGCATCATTGGTTATGCACCATGGATATTTATATTATCAGTAGAAAATTAATAAAATTATATCAAGTGCTATATTTCACTATTTTCAACTAAATATATTCGGGATAGATATAAAATCTATGTACAACATGTCTTCCATTGATATAATTTGACTTTAAAAGCCAATTGAATTTCAAAACGTCATCAACTTAAACTACTAATTAATGGAAAAATTTCAAACAAATTCTTATGTAAAAACATAAACTATATACAGTTTACGGCTACTTTACAGTGAAAATCCTCGCCATTATCGGTGTATAAGTATAACCATTTTTATGATATACTAAATCATAATTATATTATATATTGTTCTGCTTGAATAAATGACTCGGTTATTAGCTTCCTTCTTCTTCATTGTCTCGCATGAAGAAAAACCTCACTGTTACAAAACGTGAATCCTACATAAGTAAACAATTTTCTCACCCGAGAAATTAACTTAAACCAATGCATATGCTTTTAAACACTATTCATATGGAGACTTCAAGACATCCCTAGAAACTGTTTTTACCTTATATGCAAATTATATATTCTAGTCATCTTATTTGCTATACTCCAACTGTAGCTCTTCTAGGATTATTGCCGGTCTCAAGCCCGGGTAAAGAAGGAGGGTTGGGCGTGGGGTCGGCAACCCCATCGCGTAAAAAACAAACTTACTAAAAAACACTAACCAGAATAAACAATTTAAACTCTGCCTTGGGAGTTGAAGGATGAATTATGACGCCTCGTGATGAATACCGAGATTGATCGGAAGTAACGAGGCCTATCCCCCTTCTAACAACCAGAGCAATAATTTTTATAGGTACATGGACTGTCTGGACAATGTGAGAAACCAGGAGGACTAATCAAGTAGATAAAGAAATGAAATACAACTTCGCGGTTGTCGGAATCAGAGAAACTCATTGAACCCAAGTTGGACAGAAAAGATTAAATTCAAGAGGGATGCTGCTGTAATACGATCACAAAGTGGAAGATGCTCCACACACTCAGGGAGTTGATCTGATGCTGTCCTAAGATGCACGAAGTACTATAATAGGATGGGAATCTCATGGATCCAGGATCATCAAAGTATCATTCGGAATAAAAAAAGGGAATTACAGTGAACGTTATGCACCAATGATAGCAATGATGACGGTAAAGATCTGTTCTACGAGAGGCTACAAACGGTCATAGTGAAATGCCCATGAAAGGACCTGATAATCCTGATGGAAAACGTAAACGGTAAAATCGGAATGGACGACGACGGTTATAAAGATATATAGAATTAAGTCTATTTTGTTATTAGTACTATTATAACAGTAGAAGAACAAGTGCAGACAGACTGGAAAGAAGGATATCTCATCAACATTCCAAAGAAAGATCTGAGCAAATGTGAGAACTATAGGGGTATCACATTACTATCGGTACCAGAAAACGTTTTCAACAGTGTTGTTGGACCGGATGAAGGATTCAATAGACGCCCAACTTCGAGATCAACAGGCTGAATTCCGTAAGAATAGGTCGTGCGAAGATCCAATTGCGACACTACGGATCATCAATATTGAATTCCGGTATTACATAGAATATGTCAATGTCCTGAAATACAGTTAAAAACTGCAATTAAAACAGTCAAAGTATCTGTGAGCACACTAATTATACAATACAATTGAGGACAGGTAAGTTAAAACATATAGTAATTTAAGTTTGGCAATGTTATGCTACTAGTATAGGATATAATAGGTAGCCAATTAAAATGTAAGGTTATTATAGGCAGTTATGAAGAGCAACGTATGGATCACAATCCATAAATGATTGAAAGGCATTGATGAATACAGAGTATATAATAATGATATTTTATTTAAATACCAAGTAAAATAAACACTCGAAAACAATATTCAGACTTAAAATAACACGATAGTTAATAAATACTGCGGAGAAATATAGATCTAGATAAAATGTGAGAAAAAAATGATAAAAATAGACATTTTAGGCAAGATTAACTTGGTTATCATTTTATGATTATTATTTACACTGAATAGAAGTTATAGAAGAGTTAGTTTTGACTTAATTTTCCTCAACATCGGAGTGTATCGATTTCGATGTGATATTTACACTTGATGACGAACTGAACGGTAAAGACTGTGAGGCGGCAGCCAGCTGAACTCTACTTAAGGGCAATAAAGGCGGATGACCAGTACCCGTACCCATTAGACCACCATACTTATTGTAAAAAGACCTATAAAAAAAGATCCAAATAGAGAATAAATAATTATCTTATACACAATAGATATACTTTATGTAAAAATTAAGAAATATAGACTTTGAAATAAATAATTATGTTGCAAGATTATGGCAGCTTGCATGGTCAGATTTATTTATTTCCTGGCTTTCTACAGCAGCGTTTTTTAATGTTAAACCCATTAGAAATGATTTTCCGAAAAATTTTAACGAATCATATGCATATTTTTGAACAATGTATGTTTCGAAATGATTTAGTTCTTCATCCCTGTTCCCATATAACATCATTTTTTTAAAATGGATAAATTAATGTTCCCATAAACACGTTTAGAACTGATTCACTGAATTTTTCTGAGTTGATAGTTCAAAATCTAACATTTCACGATCTCGAGATAATAGAAGATATATAGTCATATTTTTAAGAAAAATGGAGTATGATCCCGTGATAGCATGAGAGCATTAAAACGTTATTTTCATACGCTAAATTTCAGATGTATCCTCAGTGGTTTTCTTCTATATTTGTGCCAGTAGAATAATCTAACCTTAGTAACTATTTAGAATAGCTTACTTACCCCTGTAATAATGGTTGCTTTTCCGTTGAAACTCTTGAAGAAGACGGATTAGATGGACGACAATAATCAACGAGCACAGGGTAGTTCACGGAACCTTCCGAATCTATTTTATTGTATACCTTGGGAGATGAAAGCAAATTATACAAACTGGATGCAGAATTTGCATTGGATGATAAACTTGGGACAGGAAACATTCGAGGTACATAACATGAAGCTTGAGAACTTGGTCTAATCTCTCCCAATAATGAAAGGCTATTGCTAGGGGTGTGTGCATTAGTATTTGTGTATGGATGTTTTGAGTTTGATGTATGGTAATTTTGAGCTTCAGATAATTCACGTGCATCTTGTAAACGAATCAAACACAACGCTAGTGAGCCAAAGCATATACTGCTAACAAACCATATTACGACAACAATAACATCTGAAGACAAAATTTATGAATTTTTAACAAACAATTAGGAAACGATCGTTATTACACTAATCATCATTAATACCAGTACAATCCTTAGTACTACTATTATTGAGGCTAAATAATGATTATATAAATATAAAATTCAGTCACACCACAAAAGAATTCCCAGTCCACGACATAAACTTGACCTTTGTAAAGTTTATATCGCCAACGATCTATGTAATGAGTCTTATGTTAATATTTTTACAGTATATTTATAATAAGGAACATTTCCGGTTACGTGGAACTGAGGTGAATAGATCCATTAATCCATCATTTAGATAACATAAAAACCACTTTACCTACATTGGTTTGAGTTGTGGTATGATGTCATCATGAGCGGTCATTAACTAGTATTATTTAAGACGAATTACTCATAAAAGTTATTTAGGAATGACAAGAAAATAAGTTTCTCACTTATGCAAAATATAAATATGGTCATATATTCAGCAGAAACAATAAATAATCAACTATAATTAAAATCAATCCAAATATACAAAAGTTTCAGTTATTATGAGGCTGAAAAATGGATCCAAATAAAGAAAAACTCTGTTCCGCAAATTTAACTAACCTTTTAAAATTACGAACAGAAACTAATGCAAAAGATATAACGGAAACGGTTATAAACCAATAGAATCATGCAACTTCAGTTAACAATTCATATCATTTTGAAAATTCGTCAGTGTAAAGACTACGCTTCAAAGAACCAAACTAATCTTAAACAAACTTGATCTGATTAAAGTAGAAAATGTGCAGAAATGAACATGGAAGTATGAAAATAAATATTTAAAAATTACCATATTGACCATAGAATTGGATGCGTAGAGTACGTAGTCTTATATCAAAACAGGTTAACATCAAGAAATATTCAATTACAATGTGAGGTAATAAACAGCTTGGTATGAGAAAAAAACTTGCACAGCATAGTGTAACGTAAAAACCAAAAAGAGCGGTTGAAATACCGAATGCCTGAAAATTAAGAAAAATTTAGTATACACATTTGGATTGATCATAAAAATACCGTTGGGATAACAGGCAATGACGTATATTCTTAAAATCAAAACCTACATATTCTGTTTTGAAAGAACATATTTGAAACACTAAAACAAAAAGCACAACTGAAACAAATACTTGAAGGAACATTGTATTTACTACATATAAATGTTTATACAATTATCCAGAAAACCATGTTTATTATTGCTAAGTGGAATGATACTATCTAAAACGAATCATGTGGCGACAGTTCAAAATAATGACCATCTGTAAGTCAAAAACCAAGTTTCAAGAGTGCCAAGACAAACGATCACTTCCCTGAAAAAGCGACCTACGTAAATTCGAAGTAAAACATTAACCTAAATTGCAAATTTGATAACGTACACTGTAACTTCGACTAAAATATCAACTTGCAGACTATAAAACTGAGTGAGTTCGTTTTCGGAGATCCTATTTGTGAATAAGATAAATGATTCTATACAAAAATTTTGCATACGTAAAAACTAATACACTTACTATCTATTATAATATACGGATATTATAAAAAGATGTTTGAAATGTTTCCTAAAACTCACAAAAAATAAGTTTTAACACAATGAATACAAAAGTGTTATAATTTAGTGATACATCGATTAAGTCAAAACTGTTCATAATTTCAGCTTACAATTATTAAAATTCGAAATGTAGCAACTAGAGGGTGTAGTTGTGTACCTTATATGTGAAAATAACCAACGTAAATTATACTCTAATGAAAACGAAGTGAATTAATAAGAATTTAGTATTTTCAAATTATTCTCATTCTACTGGACTTCTTTGGAAAATTAAAATCAACTCATTTACAAGGTACTTGCTTGGGTGTGAGGGCCAATGATACTACTCGGTTCCCGAAACCGAAGTAGGTGGGGTGGGGCTTGAACCTAGAAAGTCGAACGGCTTAATTACTAATTCACCGCTCAATGCGCAATTTGTACGTCAGTTATGTAAAAGGCAGTCGAGGAAACTGATCTACGTTAAAATTGTTTTTAAGACTAGCCTTTATGGCACTAACCAATAGAGTGAAAATTATCGTAAAGAAACTGAGAAAGATCTCTATGAAAAGGTGTGAGTAAAGATCTACTTCATCGTTTTTCTTTTGCTTAAGGATTTTTACGCAACACGATATTTGAGCAACTGAAATGTTAAAATTTAAGAAAAAACATTAATACACTAATATGTGTAATAAGAAATTCTAACAGCTGTTAATACTGTTCGTTTCACACTCAGAAAAAGAACTTTTTATGATTACCTTTGAATAACATTTTATAAACTAAATTTCTGTACTTTTGTCCAACTCTCTCCACTGTACCTTTCATTTTCCCTGCTATTGAGGCTGATATCTTGTGATCCTACCGCTTATGCTTTGAGTATTGTTTTAATGTTCCATTTTCACGCATATTGTAAGTACATTTAGGCATAACTGGAGGACTGTGTCGTCCTCACTGTGGCCTAATTAAATTTTCTAGTTAATGATATGCCTTTTGTCTTTACTATTAACTGAGGTTATATGCAGAAGACAGAGGTATCATGATCTCAGTATCAGCGATTAATTACTAGAGATGCATTATTTATCCATCATTCCTTAACCTAAACATTATTATTTATTATACAATTCTATCAAGTTTTCTAAATAATTTATAATTGAACTAGGAAAAAACTTACGAAATTTTTGAATATACTCAGCAAGCCAAGCAATAATCCTGACATTATTATACAGAACGCAAAAAAAGAAACCGAAGATTTGTCCAATTTTAGAGAACGATCTGAAGAAAAAGAGTAATTGCATGTATGAGTATTGCAGTTGAAATATAGATAATTAAAACTCATTTAAGTACACAAAATATGAATATCTAATGGAGTCACCGCGAGACGGTATTGACAGGTGATTAAGTTTTAAGTATAAGTCATTGATTTTGTGCACACGCAATAGGGGAAACAATCAGTGCTATGTTGATGAATCTCCATAATAATAGTGTCAACGATATAATCCTATCTCCAGGAAAACTACAATTTCCTTATTTATTTACGTGGTATTACGTGTTTCGTAAATCTACTTTATCCCTCTTCTAACCCCTGTACAAACAAATAACTGATAGATGATATATTGTAGACTATAACATCACTTTAGTGTGGATACTGTCTTCAGACCACTTCGCTGCTTATGGATATCCTGCAGAGACCTGAGTGCATCAAATACATGTTCATTATTGCAATTGACAATCTCATTATTGGTCAAAGACAAGGTTGCGAAATGTTATACGGCGTTGTCTTCATCCAGTGTCGATCTTTTAGAAATGTTTTATCGGCGAGACTATAATTTATAGACAGGCCAATCAGATTTATGATAACAGGTCTTAGATTTTGGCGCGAAGTTCATTCACCCATTTGCCTAAATAGAGACTTAGCATTATAGCTAATGTCAGTTCGTGATGAAAACCCTAAATCGGATTCTTAACCCTAACCATCAACTGTAAATCATAATCCTTATTCTTTAAACTGCGTTATAACCCTCATTTAGCCCTAGTAAGTGGGTAGACACTCTCGAGGTAAACAATTTCTTTATGTTTGCCTACACACGACTTTCTCTTAATTCCCAACGTAACATAAATAGTTCCAACTTATCTAAAAAAAATTATCTTTAATCTTGTAGCGGTAAGTAGATGCCTTGTAAGTCTTTTGCATTTATGTAAACCCTACCACTTTTATTGGAAACATCACTAACTAAAGATACTCAGTCAAGTGTCTACATCAGATCACATTTGGTCGCGCGGTACAGAGCAACTCTTACGATAATTAATCGGGTTAGGTGTGATACACAACAATACATCGATCTTTTTTCAATACTATGTTCTGATCCTTCCGAGTTTAGTCGTAGTATAAGAAACTTTGGAATGATCCAGTTACGATATCTATTATACTTTACGCAATATTAGATGATGTACAAGTCTTCCACTTCGAAAGTAGTCGCAGTAGTGACTGTAATACTCAGACCTTCAACACTTGACCGGAAACTATGAATTGTGGTTCAGTGAATTGCGGCACTTTTGGAAGAAATGCTATTAATTTAGAGGACCTTTGTTACGAAAACTGTGGTTCATAATGCTGTATCACTTCTAAAATAAGTTCATGAGGCAATCTTGTATTTCTGAACATTTCAACAGTCTTCTTTCTAGATTATGCAGCTCATATTGTATCCAAACTTAGAATATTTGAATCATTAGAGAACACAGTCAATCATTTATTAAGAAAAGATGTTCCAAGCAAGCAAAAAATGTTGTTAATCCACACATAGCGGGACGACCCAAACAGATCAGGTAGAAACAATCCAGTAGTAGTCAAATTGCGGTCGGAGAAACAGTATATCACACAAAAAACAAATCAAATACCGATTCAGTATGTATTAATGGATAAAAAAGAAACAGAAGTGAGCAAGATACATGAGAATGAAAAGAGTAACTTTATACCTTGGGCGAATAAAGAATTTACGACAAATATAATGCACACAAGAGGAGTTTTCACTCATAAATAAAGGACGTTGAAAATTATTAAAACAAACAAGCATCAAACTAGCACAACAGATAACATAAGTACAGACATTAGATTGTACTGGAAGTTTAGTGCTAAATCAACCAGAAGTAATCAACTGAGCGTACAACCTGAAAAGGCAGCCACGAATATGGGCTACCGATTAGCTTAACGGATACGAAGTTGGCGATCAAAGCGGACAATAAGATCTAGCCCGTGTAAATAAAAATAGGAAGCAGGTACATAGAGCCGACGCGTTTCAAATAGGATGAACCAGGTGTCTTGAGTCTTCTTGGTCATCACAATCCAAATGTCTTTAAAAAGTAGTAGTCTTTTCAACGCACTTACCCTGTGTCAAATCGGCCAGCAGGTCTCCTTGGATAACGCCCTAAAATCTAGTACCATTTGGTGTATGCTGTGTCTTCGAAACACGCATAAAGGACCCTAGTGTGGTCATACACTAGACCTCACCTTGCCGAAACGGAGAGCCGACGAGATACACTCTCCGTTTATCTGGCGACCGATGGCTAGTTCGCGTAGACGATGGCAGAACAAACACTGTTAGAATGGATCCCTATTAACAGTCGTCTATGTGCTGTTCGACTGAACGGCTCCGTAAGAACTCGGAAGGATAGTGACACAAGTCGTTGCCCTTTCGTCATTTCTGCCTACGCTCCCACTAACTGCAGCTCGGATGATGTTAAAGATGACTTTTAGAAAAAGCTATCTGAACTTCTTTAGAAAGCTAAACGCTCAGACAAAGTTCTCATAGCAGGTGACTTTATTGCCCAGGTAGGTAGATAAAACCAAGCAAAAAAATATTTAGGTGGGTATTTTACTATTCCGGCTCATCGAACAGATAATGGTGATCGTCTGCTGCAACTTTGCTCAGACAATCGTTTATTTTTAGCAAACACAAATTTCAAGCTTAAGGAGAGACATAATTTAACATGGCGACTCCCAGCACCAAACCAACGATGGACTCAAATAGACCATATGGGCATCAGTCATCGTTGGAGAGGGTCGATAGAAGATAGTCTCTCATTCTGGAAAACCGCTTTAGACTTTAGTCGTCGTCTAATACGAGCACGCATTAGCTTGCGCCTCACTGGACGTAGAAAAACCACGCTAATAAGACCCATTAAAATTGAATTGAGTGACAAGAAAGCAGAAAGTAGATTCCAGGAACAAGTGAGGTCATACTTAGGTAGTTCTGAAAACGAGGCTGAACCAGGTTTTGCTTGGAAAGATATACAAACAGCTGTAAAAACAGCAGTGGTGTCCGACAAGGCTGTCCAATATCTCCATTTTTGTTTAATTCCATCATAAGCCTACTGCTGGAAATAACGTTCTTGTCGGCTGAATTTTCGGGCATTGATCTCCTACGAAGAGGTCCACTTATCGACTTAGAATACGCAGATGATATAGTTCTGTTTGGTGAAGACGCTGATAAAATGCAATCTTTTGGTAACACTGAACAACAATATCAGGATGTTTGTGATGCGTTTCTCTCCCTCTAAATGCAAATTGTTGCTCCACGACTAGTCTGCGTCAACGCCTGAACTAAGAATAGGGAGTGAAGTAATTGAACACGTCGACAACTTCATTTATCTTGGAAGTCTGATCAGCCCTAATGGGTTGATGTCTGACGAAATCTCTGCACGGATTCGAAAAGCTCGTCTGGCTTTTGCCAACTTACGTCACCTATGAGGAAGTCGAGATATCCGTCTATCAATAAATGGACGAATATACTAGGCGGCAGTCCGTTCTGTTTTAATTTACGGTTGCTAAACGTGACCATTAAGAGTAGAAGATACTTGTAAGCTACTAGTGTTTGATCACTGATGCCTTAGAAATATTGCTCGTATCTGCTGGGTAAGTAATAGTGAGGTTAGACACAGAGTATTAGGGAATGATGGTGAATCAGTTGATGAGATTGTGAATCTTTATCGACTGAGATGGTTGAGACATGTATTACGAATGCCTGAACACCGATTACCACGACGCACAATGCCGACTAGTGTTGGGGATGGTTGGAAGAAAGTTAGGGGCGGACAAACCAAAACATGGCATCAGTCCTTGAAGTCACTAACTTCTAGCCTGAGCCATGTTGGTAGATACAGACTACTTGGGGTCCGCACGGCTATTATAATGTTTGGAGACGCTGGGTGATATAAATCGGAATCGATCACAATGGCGTAGGTGCGTACACAATCTGTCTTCCCCTAAACTGTGAGATTAAATTAATTTATACCTTTCCTTCTACGAACTAATTCTTTCTTCTATACTATACCCTCATATGCAATACTTCTTTTACATATCACTATCATTGAAGTAACTACTTCTATGAATTCGGTGTCCATCCTGTTGTGCTAATGAGGTGTGGCAACTTGGACCGACGTATATACGTGCCTGGTCCTACTTTGTAGCTGACTGGTTGACTGACTAAATGAAACAGAAGTATCAAAGTAAAACAATGAAACAAGATCAATTTGATACCAATGTGGTATTTTAAGCTCAGTTCTAAATTTATTTATTTATTAAAACACAAACATTGGCACAAGGGGGCATCTAATACATACACTCCTTACTTCGTCATTTGATTTGTGTGAGAGCTGGGATACTGGCCGAACGTCCAAACCAAAGCGGTGGTTTTCTTAAGAGGCCACACCCAGAGCCTTTGACCTACAAGTCTAATACACAAGACAGTGAAGTAAAGTTAGGAGATGCACTCCCATAGTAGCCGGTGACCAACAATGGGTTCATACGCCTTCTGTTCCCTCAGGATACTGGAGCCCATGTGCACCATTGGTTTGGAATCAGGGTTTTCCAATTCCCCTAGGTGAACTCTCTGAGTCCAGCGACCCGGTTAAAGCGCCGGACATCGTCCTCTCAATTTCTTAAACAACACCTCTCCGCGAGAAGGCAGTGACTAGAACTTTCCTGGTAGTGATTATATATACGTGGCCATGTAAGAGCATTTCGAGAGTTATGACTCTCCCCACTCTCTGACGTACCAGGGCATTTGGAGGCAATCCCGGATAACTGAAGCAACTTAGTAACTCATTACATATTTATGTACATAGAGATGAGCCATATATTTTAATCCATGGAATAGTTTAACTACGCGGATGACCAACATGAACTAAACACAGAGAGGTTCCACGTGAGACGATGGTTTAAAGTCGAGTGTTTTTGATAACTAAACCACTAATCAACCTTACTTAAGTGTTAACGATGTAATACCCAAACAAACAAATACCTTGAAATTCCCTTTTTACTCCAAAAATTTCATTAATTAAATGAACATCATATATGTATACATATGTGGTAAAATAGACAATAGATACATTTCTGTCGATTTTAAATACTTATCCTATAGAAAAATAAGTGACAGAATAAATTTACTAGTAAAATTTTCAAAACGTACCAAGAGAGATGGATAGATAACCGATTAGAATAAATACAGTCGGCAAAACGGGAAGTAAACGAGCAAAGCGACGAGGTCTTAGGGTGAAGGGTTTAAGTGGACGTGCCAAAGTTTTTGAAGATTTTTGTGAACTTCTGGACCTTCGACACAGCTGAATGCCACAAATTCGAACACAAGTGTAATCTTCATTATCATTACTACCACCCTGTTCATTTGAAACATATGCACCAGAATGAGCTGGGGAATGTTGATACACTAGATCATGACACAGCTGTAATGCTGAAATACTGGACTCCTCCTCATTAACTGGAGCCAAAACATTAACAGTATTAATTGGTGTATGTTCAGTCTGTGACGACGATCCAAAAGGGGCAACAACATTTTGATAGCTGTTATCTAACACATCTGAATTCCACGGTTCGTTAACAAGAACAGTTGTAGAATTTTCTACCTTCACCAGTGGACCTTGTCCAAACATACGTTGGTAGTACAAAGTAGGACGAACGTAACGCCACCACAGTATTACAAACACAAACAATGCGAAGAAAGCTGGCAAAAAAGCACTCGCTATTAAAATAAGGTAAGCTATAAATAGAATGATCAAAAAGGAAAAATATTTCAATAGCATGGGAGAATTCGTGAGAATTGCAGAATTTTTATAGGCTACCATTAAACCTAAAAGTACTAGACAATCGTTTCATGCTAGTGTAAGACTCCTCAGTAGCGTGCATCCGGTACCTAAACCAAGGACCTTCGGTTTCTTGTACGGACGCTTAACTTCTAAACCACTGCGCTGGCATCTGACAGTGTTAATGTTTAACTTCGATCAACCTAGGATAGTACGCAAACCCTATCCAATGCTTGCAATGAATAGCTATCTCATACCCGACACGGTTCGCGATTCAAACTATGAAAATATATTTTAATACGAAATTAATTGACTCGAAAATAATGCACAATAAAAACAAATAATGTGTAAACTGTGATACAACACTTGAAGATTTAGCCAAGCAGTTAAGTTCTAATCGACTGAACAATGAGCGTCCTACGAGCTAATTCCCTCACAGACATTTTACCATGTTTATATTGTGTTTATATTCTGCATAGAAACACTTCAACTGGTTATAGAATAAAACCTACTATTTTGGCTCAGTGGTCTTGTCTTCGATTTCAAATTATTTGAGGCCCAAAGTCAATAAAATAGTTTAGTGAGCAACCATAACCATATCATGATACTATGTTCATTTATTGATCAACATTATATTCATTGATTTTAACAATCGAAAAATTCGCTCATCAAATAATCAAACTCCATACTAAATTGGGACTGTGCTCAACATATTCAACTCAACTGCTGGTTTTCGTAAATACGTTTTTGTAGACAATTAATCCATTATTGACATTCATGATTTTTATCACTTTAGCATTACTTATTATGGATATAAGGAACAAGTTACTGATAGACTATAAATAGCTAACCGACTGATCAAGAAATGGAACCACCTTATGGGGATATTAAAGATTGGTTCATTAAGTAATTAAATGTAGATTGACTGAGGCTTATAAAAGTGGTAAGCGTTAGTTGGGTACAATTGAAAAAATTACAGCAACAACAAAGACACGTTCACTTGTTATTTTCTTTAAATTATTAGACTTTTTTCTTATATCCCAAAATTTTCTTATTTATCTTTCTGAACTATTTTTGATTATCTATCAACATCTTTTTGAAACGTGGTGACCACAAACGAGACAATTGAGTTGAACATCACCTACTTCACGCGATCAATAAGACAAAAGTTCATAGATAATAATGAATGAAACGAAGTTATAGGCCAGTTGTTTAAAAAAAAACTTTCTGATAGTGCGTATTAGGCTGCTATGATCGTACTGTGAGTTAGCAGTAGGTTGAAAGTATGAGTCCTACTCTAGCTAATTTGTTTGGACAGCCAGGTAGCACTAATAATCTGTTCACATAATGTTGATTAAGGCTGAATACACAAGCCAGAATATGATGAACGGGTTGCATCAAACTAGTGACAGCAAAATTAATATTTATACAGAAAAAACTGCTAGTCCTTAGTAAGAGTCAAATACAAAGTTATTGAGGCGCAAAATATACATTGGAGCGACAAGTACCAAGTTTTAATGTTTATGAGTTCATTATTAACGCCTACAAGACTTGATGCCTTATATCCATAGATATGTGATGATTTTTTGGAGGCACTTTAGTTTCGTATCAGTGCTTAAAAACAGGTGCAAAATAATGAGTACTGCTTATACTTCTCTAAATATACTTGCGGAAATCGGTAGAAACTATAAAGTTACTGCTTATCCAACCTACATTCAATAGTTGGGGCATATTTTTCATGCCAACAGTTTGATATTAGAACTGGTGAAATAAGATTATTTGTATCTAATTAAACAGTTAGTCATCATTAACGTAGAGCCGTTGGTTCAAGAGATGACAGTCTTTTATCGAGCCAAAAATAACCCGCTGTCCAAGCATAACTGTAGCAGATGGTCAATGTCATTTGTCCATGAGTTTGGGATACCATAAGACCAACTTAAGTTTTTTTTCATTTTGACTTATCCTACCACCTTGCTACAACTAACACATTTGAGGCCCTGACTTTTTGCAGATCATTAAGTTTCGTGCAAAGTTTATATTTTACTCCATCAGAGCTGCAGCCAGTGGGAGATAGGTAGAAACGAGGAAGAGGCAACGGTGTGTTCCTATCTTCCAGAGTTCTTGCTGTGTCTTTGAGACGGACAACAGATAAAAAGCTGTCAACAGGAATCCGGTTGTGCATGTTCTTTCGTATATAGTAATATACTTACACCAGCAAGGCCACGAGGATCTGCTGCCATGTCCACAGATACACAAGGGGTAAATCATGTTAGTTATCCATACTGGTTAAATGATTTCAAGTGGATGATCACGTTAGAAGCCCTTATACGTGGTCAGAAGACACAGTATACATCAGTAGCGCGATATTATGGTGTCTTGGTGAAACCTCTTTCCAATCTGATATATATTTAAAAATTCAAGACTTCAATATGTGTGGTTTCATATCTGAAATAGTATTTTGTGAACTCGAGTAGTTAGAACTATTGGTACATATAAAAGTTGAAGACAGAAAATGAAGGTTTATGGTAGAAACAGAGGAAATATTGGGTAGTGAGGATGGGGTTTGATTATAAATGACGTGAGGTTGCTACTTCCCGGTTACCAACAATGAGGAAGGATAATTATTGAGATATCTGTAAAAGAAGCTGGGTTATCAGCAGTCTTAGCCGCTTGCGGCAATACCTAAGGAGCAACTACTTGAGGCTGGTACCCAGGCGCACAATTTTCTAATACCACTCTCAAGCTAACGAGCTTTGGAGTACAAGCACTGACTATACTAGTTCTACAATTATTAAGTCTGTTTTTCTGAGATCTTACATCAAGACATGTTACTAATAAAAATAACCCAGTAGACTAGATCTGCCATGATATCCTATCAATTGAGGGGAAGGTGATCAGACGAAGTATAGAAACGAATGAATCGATAGTTATGGCAAACTGCAATTACTCAAACTAAATCAAAGTACTGATAATAGTTCCTTACTTTCATTAGGTTCGTCTGAAAATCTGTAGAAAAATATCAGCCCAATGACAGACCCCATAATCATCGCACTGACTGCACAACCTAAAATGAACAATTAAAGACTGGAAAACAGATTAAATAGTAGAAATTCGGCTTCGATCAACACTGAAGGTGTATTATTCATACATATGACTAACTTTCCAGAATACTGTAATTACATCTATTCAAGTGATGAAAAATAATCAAACGATGCTTCATTAAGTTTAGGATACTAAGCAATAACTGTAGAGTTGTGACTGTTCGGTTTATATTTAAATAGTTTAAAACATTACTTGACCACGTGACTTTTGGAAGAGTGGTACCTGTAATTAATACCGCTCATGGTTCAAAAACATATGTAGTTGCCGTGCCTCGGGAACTCACAACCTATAAGTATAAGGTATTTTTGCATGCACAACTATTGCGAGATGCATAATCTCAAATTACAACTCATGAAAAGAAAATCAGTATCAATTAAGTTGAAATTCTGTTACAGCAAATTATATAGTGTGAACACTATTCGCGAAATTTCAACGCATTTTTAGGATATTTTAAAGTACTTGGTTAAAATATTCTAATCCTTTTTTAAGAATAGATCATGGAAAAACTTAATGTATTTTGATTAATTAATCAACATCGCATAGCTTCGTCTGCAAGACTGGTGTTTTTACTCTAGCTAGTGGGACAGGGAAAAGAATGGGATAGAAGTAGTTTCATTCACAATACTGAAGTCGGAGTACGGCGCACCAACGTATAAACAACCACATAGCCAAAAATATACGGAAGAGTGAATTACATTATTTCTCGATTCACTGTAAGACATAATGGAAAATCAAATACCATAACAAATCGAAGCAAAAACAGGCGAAAAGCTATTATATTGTAGGCCTTCAACAATACTTCTCTTTTACTAATATTATCCTTGCTTTCTAGAAATCATCAACACTATTTGAGTAATCAGTGAGTTTGAATGGCAATAAAATGATTGCATCTACTGATAAATGGGTATTGGAGTCGAAATTCGGATCCTCACTTGAACGATAAGTAATATCGCATAACAGCTGAAAACCCACTAAGAGACATATAAGGCTTTAGACAAAGTGAAGACTAACCTTGCAGAAGCATATCACATGACATCACAAACTTACTGCAATATATTTGATAAAATATATGATGGTCGATCAGACGTTTACAGCTATAAAGTGTATGTATGATTTAGTCTCAAACAGTCATGAAAACGAAGAACCTAGCGCATATTTACATCGGCCCAAATTGTTGCACTATACATCACCATCAAAGTAAAAAAATAGGGGTCAAAGGAGTCGAAATAATACCAGTTACAACGATAGCAAAAGACTAGAACTAAGAAATATGCCCTAAAAATAACTAATAGAATGCATGAATCAGAAGTATAGACTTATATTCAAACTCGAGATCTGAAAGAAAATAAAAAATGGGTGCGAAAATAAGATTTGAACTCAACTGACTAACTGGTTCTGGAAACTGACTACACTTCATCTACCTAATGCATATAACTAATACATCAACCATTTGATTATTGAAGTACTATTCTAATGCGATAGAGTTGAATGAAACAAAATATGTATTTAGATTAAAAACTGGGTATGTAAAGCAGTTTTCTTACATTTTTAAACTGGTTGCGAGTAAACATAGATATTAGATTTTTTCGGACCGAACGTACTTGGTAAATAGATATATACTTTTGTAATAACCCTTATAATGAAATTAAGTAGAATACCATAACACACTGAATAAACACTGGTTGTAATGGGAAAAGGAAACTTTGAAGACACTATAACAACTAAGCCTAAGATCAACAGCTTAATTCATGTCCACTACTTATTGGTATAATTAGCTTCCATTGATAGTAACACTCAATGGTCAGAAACAGTATATGACTACAGCAGCTTACTTTAAGTATAAAGCTCCGAAAACAAATAAGCGTCTGTACAAAAACAAAAACTTACGGGGCCAAATCCACATATTACATGAAGTAGCATATAAAAAACCTGCAAGAAGCAAGACAGCAACGGGAAATAGGATAACTGGTGTATCTTTAGGAAGAGTACCACAGTTGACTACCAAACTAGCATTTGAAGTAGGTTGGTTATATACAGTACGGTAGAAACTGGGTGAAATCTGTGCAGGGCAACCAAAAAGAATGACAGGAATATATGGTACTTGCCATGTATCACCAGAAACTGAATACTCCACAACAACAGTGACAATATATGCTGTAGCTGGACGACGTGAGACGATTATGTTAATAAACTCATCATTTGGTGTGAATTCACTATTAAAACAAGATCCAGGGTAAACTTAGTTGATACATTCAAATCCTCTCAAAATATGCAGTAATGAGAAAAATGACAACAAACTTAAAATCTTATTTCCCTTTTAGGCTTACGTTAGTAATAGAAAGCCCCTAAATGCCCTGGTACGTCAGAGAGTGGGAGTCAGCTCTCCCGAAATGCTCCCACATGGCCACGCATATATAATCACTACCTGGGAAGTCCTACTCACTGCCTTCTCGCGGAGGGGTGTTGCTTACGAAATTGCGAGGACGAAAACCGAATGCTCGGAGGTTTAACCGGGTCGGTTAACTCGGAGGGTTCACCTAGGGGAGTTGGAAAACCCTGATTCCAAACCAACGGTGCACAAACGGCGTATGAACCAATCATTGGTCACCGGCTCAGTCAGTCAGTCAGCTACAACGTAGGACCAGGCACATATATGCATCGGTCCAAGTTGCCATACTTCACTAACACAACAAGATAGACACCGGATTCATAAAAGTAGTTAATTGAGGTGGTAATATATAAAAGAAAGATTGCAATAAGGATATAGTACAGGAAGAAAGAATTAACTCGTAGAAAGAAAGATATGAAGCGATCTTAATCTCTTAGGGAAGACAGAGTGGTCACCGGCTACCATGGGGCTGCATCGCCTGACGTTGCTCCGCTACCTTTAAAGACTCTGGGTGTGGTGCCCTAAGAGAACCATCTGCCTAGGTTTGGTCACGCGGGCAGCATCATAGCCCATGCATTAATCAAGTGACTTGTGTGGCGCATATGTAGTGGGTGCCCCCTTATACTAATATTTATGTATCCAAATAAATTAATAAATAATAGTAATACAAAACTGATGTTCCTTAAAGTAATCCATACAAACTGACTTAAGTGTACGGAAAACATCCAGAATGAGACTTATAATACATAAGTACAGAACAAGTGAAATAGTATATCAATAACAAACCGAAAATACTGAGCTGCACGTAGTGAATTCGTGCCTTAGGGGAATTAACATTCGACTATCCACAATCGAAACCTAGCTCTCCTTAGCTTAAAACCAAAGAACTAAAGCCGTATTTTGAAAATTAGGGTTATCAAGAATGTGATTAGTTACTTGCTATTGCATGTAAAGGTACAATACAGTTAAAACAAATCAAAGTCCACGAACGGAAGGGTACAAAAACTAAACTAAAACTTGCCACCGTTGTTTGAGTGGGTTCGATGTGACCTATATCTAGAAATGTGTAATGTTGAATAGACACATGACACCTAAGCTTGAAACAAACTTTCAGTATTGTGAAGTTCTTGCGTAACTTATATGACTGCACATATAATGTTCATGAGACCAATGACAATAACGCCACTGAGACACTTACCTCTGGTGAAATGACTGTATGTAAGTACCAACAAATGACGAATGGCCAAAGTTGGCCATGTTTTTCAAAACTGATGCAACTTCACTGGGACTAGGATTCACGAAGGCTCCATACGAACCACCAGCAGTTATTAGTGGTGTACCATAAACGTGATAAACTAGGCTCCCTGATGGCTTACTTTCGGCAATCCAGTGGGAACACGCAAAACCACCTGATCCGACAGGTTCCGAAGCTGCAGAGAGCTGGAGAGCAGACGTCCAATAGCTTAAAAACTCAATGCGTTTCGAGCTTGAAAGATTTATATTTTTAGTCATTATATCTGTAGTGATGGCTGCATTCATGAAACCACTACGCGAACTACGACCACAACCACCTGGCAATGGAACTACAAAGATAGATATATAGCACTACCATAAACATACATTCTGATCCATATGCAACAGCTTTAACCCACACAATTAGTGGAACACTATAGGAAGAATAAACGTAGAATGTCGACAATGTTTTGTTTTCAACAAAACTAGCTAAGCCGCAATGAGCCGAGTATTGTGAAGTGTCATATGTAAACGAGGCTGATGTGGACACTAGTAGTGGGTTGAAGGGGCTGTGCACTTGGTACACAGCAAATTTACTCCCCGGCGGAATTTTGATAACTTCAACATACACCAACCCATTGACAGAAATGTTCGTGAATGACCCATGTTCAATAGTGATTATCGTATGAGAAATACACTCCTGAATATACCCAGAAGTTAACAACAAGTAAGGGCAGAGTACGACCCACAACATACCGCCCGTATTGAATTGCCGCTCGTGCGGCTCCAATTGAAAACTTTGCGTCTTCACTTTACTTTTTTCAGTATTCAAAACATCATCCCCATATAAACTTTGAATTGCTATATATTCAAGAGAGACTTCTCTGAATTTTTATATTTCGTTTGTAGAAAAAAAGATAACTTGTTCCATTCGCTTCGTATTAAACTTCTGTGCATATTAAGTTTTCACTTCCAACTTTACCGGATAGAAATAGCTAAACGTTTGTGCCTTTGAATCTATATCTAGTGGCAGAGAAAAGTTCTTGGTTATTTAGAAATGAAGCTTTTGTTCCGTTTTCTCTGAATCTAAAAAATATGAGTACAAGGTTTGTTGGGAGCTCTAGCTGAACTGTTTCTACCTTAAACTTCAGGCATCTGATCGTTAGATGTTACGTCGAATATCTCTACTGTGAGAAATGACTAAATCCTATCAACTGGCTGGATGTCATAGGCTGGCTCATGAGGTCATGGTCACGCTATGTTTCTTCAACCTTTCCCTACTAATATGTTTCTTCGATAACGTCATATTTATCTAGACGGTCATCGATGTAGCCTCAGCACCTTGGTATTGAGGATGATACAGGTATTCAGTGTTTGACAACGCTTTTACCAGTAACACCTTCTAATGTACGTTGTTCACACCGAGAGAAATCAAAAGACAGAGTGGAGGAGATCGGAAGAGTGTATTTGGCGATAACCAATATATCGGAAGATCTCTGATCTAATCTGGCTAGCAATTGCGGTAGATGTTGATCACAGCGTTACCACACGTGATCTGGTGCGGATGCATGACCGAGCGCCTTCAGCTAGATGAGTCCACTAAAACATATGATCAGCATCCAATGTCGAAAACTTACAGAGCTAATTATTTTGGGGATTTATTTACCTCTACAGATCACTCCCCCCCCTAGTGGGGTAGTGATGACCCTAAGACGTAGCCAGCCAGAAGTTTAAACCCAACGAGTTCGTCGTTGGTAAACACTCTTCTGATAGCTTACTAAATTTAGCAGCATCTGGTCGTCTTTCCTTACTATATGGGACCGAGGTACAACATAGTAAAAAAAAAGAAAAGGTACAATTCAAAATTATGGCTCCTCGTAAACTGCATCGTTCTTTTCCAGCCGTCCTGGGAAGGAAAAAAAATGTAAGTGCATTTCGAAATACACTCGTATGTACGTAAAAACACAATGTCGGCAAAAAAAAGAAAATAAACTCAAGCACACGTAATAGCGTTTAAAAAAATTGATTTTTTGTTGTTTTTTTTGTAAATAAAAATATAAATATATGAGCATATTAAAATTGTATTTTTTTTAATTATTAGATATCGTAAAAAGGAAGATCGAGATAATATAAAATGTCGAGTAGTGCCTTACGTGCGATAGTCGTTTAAATGTTCTGGAAATCTTACTCTTCTTCCAGAACGTGTTGTTTTAAGTTTATTTTCAGACACATTCGGAGTGTTACCTCTAGTGTTGGTTGTTGGTTGAGGAATTCTGAGTGTAGGAGTCGTGTTGTGCGATTGTACCGAAGGGAAATCGACGTGAATAGGATTTCTTTCTAAATACGCTGCTTTTAAGTGATCGATGCTGATGCTATCGTTTATTCCGTTCTTATCGACTATATAGTACTTAGATTCACGTTAAAGAACTTTGAAAGGTCCTTCGAATGCTAATTCGAACGGTCGTCGGTGTGAGTCTCGACGAACGTGTGTACTATATCGTAAGACAGAATGAACGAAAACATCGGTGGATTATGGTCGAGTGGAAGTAGGTTCGTGTAGGAGGTTAGATCCATGTTCATTGAAGAGGATGAAGGATCCACGAATTCTCCTGGAAGTCGAAGTGTCGTTCCATAAACGAAATGAGCCGCAGTGTATCCAATGTCATATTTCACTGCATTGCGAATACCTAGTAAGACGAGTGGAAGAACGTCGGTCCACTGTGAAACGTTTGTAGCTGATAGTGAAGCTTTTAGTTGTCGGTGAAAGCGTTCTACCAACCCGTTTGCTTGTGGGTTGTAGGCGGTCGTTCGGAAGCGAGTGATTCCTTATAGTGTGGTCAGATGACGGAAAAGTTTGGATTCGAACTGACGTTCGCAGTCTGTAGTGATGGTTGAAGGACAACCGAAGTTTGCTACCCATCGTTCGACGAAGGTGCGGGCTACTGTTTCAGCAGTGATGTCCTTGATAGGTACTGCTTCTTGCCATCGAGTGAAACGGTCTATGCAGGTTAAGAGATAAGAGTATCTATTTGAATCTGGCAAAGGTCCTACCGAAACCAGGTGAACATGGTCGACACGAGCATCGGGAGTTTTAAATGAGCCTAAGGGACATTTATTGTGTCTGATGACCTTAAATTTTTGGCAGCTTACACAGGAGCGTGCCCACTCTCTCAAGTCTTTATTCATACCAGGCCAGCAAAACCGTTCTGCTATAAGCTTGATGGTTGCACGAACACCTGGATGAGAAAGCTTGAGCAATGTGTTAAAGACATTGCGTCGATAATGTTTCGGCACGATTGGGCGATCCCTACCTGTAAATGTGTCACAAAGTAAGGTTTTTTACCTGTTCCCATCTGTTTGATTCGTAGTTTAAAGGTTGTGGAAGATAACTCGTGCTGAAGATCAGTGTCTTTTTTAAGCTCGGCTAATTTAAGAAGGTCGATTCCTTGGAAACTGTTCAAGGAGGTTATGCAAGATAAAGTGCCTGCGACTACATTGTTTGCTCCAGAGATGTGTTGAATGTCTGCAATAAACGGCGAAATGTAGTCCAGTTGTCGAGACTCACGGAGAGAGTACTTGTCTGAAGTAGAGCTTAGAGAGAAGATAAGTGGTTTATGCTCAGCGAAAAGAGTGAATTCACGACCTTCGATGTAGTGTTGAAAATGTCGTACAGCACAATACATAGCTAGGAGTTCCCAACCGAATGTGCTATACCTCGATTCAGTGTCTAGCACCCGCCTAGAGAAAAATGCCAAGGGTTGCCAGGAGTTGTTAACCCATTGTTGTAAGACTCCTCCGATTGCTGAGTCGGATGCGTCTACTGCGAAGCTAAAGGGTCCTTGAGTGTCCTCATGTGCAAGCATTGTTGCTTTAGAGATGAGTCCTTTAATTTTGGAGAATGCTTTTCGTGCGGTGTCGCCCAAATTAATGGATTTCGCATTTCCACGAATTTGGTCGGTAAGAGATTTCATGAGTAAAGCACATTTAGGTATGAATCGTCTATAGAAACTTACCAGGCCGTTAAACGTGCGTAATTGCTTGACTTTCGTCGGTTCTAGGTAATCCAGAATGGCCGCCACTTTCGTCCTAAGAGGTCGAATGCCTTGAGCATCGATAGTGTGTCCTAGGAAGTCTAACGAGTCGGCCCCGATTTGGCATTTCTGAACGTTTACAGTAATGCCATGTTTTTGTAATCGATCGAAAACAAGATCCAGATGCTTGAGATGTGATTCTCTGTCCGGACTTGTGGTTAGGCAGTCATCAACATACGCATGTACGAAGTTGAGACCTTGAAAAACGTCGTCTATGAATCTTTGGAATGTTTCGGCAGCATTCCTTAGACAGAAAGGCATTCGCAAAAATTCATAGAGTCCGAAGGGAGTTAAGATAGCTGTTTTCGGTATGTCGTCAGTAGCCTTAGGGATTTGGTTATACGCTTTAACCAAGTCGATTTTCGAAAAGACAGTTGTACCTTTCAAGGTAGCTGTCAAATTGTGAATGTGAGGCAACGGGTAACGATCGGCAATGGTTTTTGCATTCAATCGCCGATAGTCACCGGTTGGACGCCAATCGTTGCTGTCCTTTTTAGGGAACATGTGCAACAGAGATGCATAAGGGCTGTTTGACGGTCGTATGATTCCTAAGTCTATCATGTGATCGAATTCGTTTTTCGCTAACCTTAGCTTTTCAGGAGCTAGTCGTCGTGCTTTAGAGAATACAGATGGTCCTGTAGTCGTGATGTGATGTGTAACGTTGCTGGTTACACACGGTAGTTTCGGTTGAGTTTGTTGTATCCCAGGATACTTATCGAGTAGTGGTTGATAGAGTGGGTCTATCATATGCTTAACTGTGACTGTGGATAATCTACAACCAGAAAAGGAAGTTACGCAAACTGATAATTTAGTGTTTCCGTCTACTAGCCTCCGTTTGCGCGTGTCGATGATTAGATTATGGTGTTGTAGAAGATCCATACCAATGATTGGCATAGAAACATCTGCAACAACGAAAATCCAGTGAATGGGTTTGCGTAAACCCACGTTAAGGCATACGTATCTTTTGCCATACGTAGCGATCGGTTTTCCGTTTGCCGCCTGTAAGTTTAGAGTTGAGCCGGTCGTTATTATTTGCTGGGAGAAGGCTATTTTCTGCGCCAGTATCGACGAGGTAGCGAATTCTCGTTCTCACATCTGTGACGTACAACAGACGGCTATGTTCGCCGGCTACGGTTGCCGTTAACGCGTGCCGGCTTGGAAGTTTCTCGAGTTGTTTTTCGAGTCAGGGTTTTCTGCAATTTCTGGAAAATTTTCCATACTGGCTATAATACCAGCACCAGTCGGGGTTATCCGTCTCTCGTGGTCTAAAGACAGATCGTTTACGTGAAATGCTTCTACGTGGGCTGTGTGAGCGATTACGGTCGTTACGAAGATTAAGATAACGCGTGAGTGTATGACATAACTCGGTTATGTCATTCTGAGTCGTTTGAGGCTTTTCTTTGCCTGAAAATACCTCTGTAGTAGACGATTTCGTTATTTCTAAAATACGATCGGCAGATGCAGCCAGCTCGTCTAAGGCGTTGTTTTGAAACGAGACAAGCGCAGTTTGCACCTGTTGAGGACGTTTAGACAAGAAAAGTTGTTTAAATAGGCCTTCGTCGAAAGTTCTTGAGCCAATAACTTTTCTCATTCGTTGCAACATGTCCTTCGCAGAACCGTGTTGCAGGTCGATGTTATTGAAGAGTTGATCTAAACTTTGTCGATCGGTTAGGTCTCCTC